TACAACACTGCCCAGCAGCATATGGTCTGAAAGTACATAGCCCTTTGGTGATACTCCATCCTTGTATGTTCCTTAAATGAATTTTATTTATATTAATACGTCTCTTTGGAAAGGATATTTCTAAATAAACATTTCATACTACTTTTAACACATGTTTATATGTTTATTAAAAAAAAAAAAAAAAAAAAAAAAAAACAAAGCTCGATAGAAATTATAAAAGAGAAGAAATTGATACTTACCATAGGGTACTAAAAATAATACGCAACTAGCAAAAAAACCATGTAGAGCACTCCAACAAAATTCTTTTTTATTAAAGAGAAGATTTTGAAGTCCAGGTGCATATAACTTTGGATACATTAGGCTATTTTTATCATTAACATCTTGATCAAATATGCCAACTGCCAAGACTGGTAGCGACGTATAAAATAGATTATAGACAGAAATGTACATTGGATCAAACACTGTCTGAAAATGAAATGGAAAAAATAAAAAATATACTCTCCCAGATATAAACATATAAGATATATCTATATGTACAATGCATACATTCTCTCACAGGCATGTACGTACATCAGACATATTTATAAAAGATCATACTCTCCGACTCTACTTTGGAACAATATTGCTCTAACAAAGGAATCTTAAGGAATCATATTCGCCTTATATTCATCATTCGTCATATTCAGTTAATGGCCAATAAAATAATTATAAAGCATACCTGTGCACTGAATCCACAGAAGAAGGCGAACCAGATATGGCAGAGAGTGAATGCAAAATTTTTATAAAAGAAGTATCTAAGGAACTTGCTCATTCTATAATACGACCACCTGCCGTGTACGAGTAATAATCTTTCTAAGAACCTAAATTGCCCTATAGAATAATCAGAGGCTAGTACAGCTTGCAGTCCTTCTTGTCCACTGATACCAACGCCAATATGAGCCGTCTTTATCATCGAAACGTCATTAGCTCCATCTCCGATCGCCAGAGTAACCGCATTTTTATTTTTCTTTATCAATTCAACGACCATTGCTTTTTGTAAAGGTGTTACACGACAACATATCACAGATTTACCTATAAACGAAGGACCTTAAATGAAGGGACGAAAGAAGGTAATTTGGCAAATATAAATTAACTTATTATTGAACTTACATTGGCTTGATACTTCCAGAAAAAGTTGATCAAGTTGCGGATGCAATGCGTGCACTAAGGAATGTCCATTGATAACCACTGCAAAACCCATAGCTTGCTCCATTTCATGCTCATCCTGCTCGTCTCTACTCGGATTATATTCCGTATCACTGCTGTATACAAAAAAATATTAGCTCGAAAGAAAAAAGTCTTATCCTATAAGCGCAAATAATTTGATAGTTGTGAAGAAATCATTGAATAATAGATAATTAAAAATTTTATAAAAGGATTTTGCTATTTTTTTAATCATTCACAATTTGATTCAGGATACTTTGAATAAATCGATCTCCAAGGAAAAAGAAGATAATGTACATTAAATTTTAACGATAAACATGGTGCACAATATTAGATTCTACAAGAAACAAGAATGTGACATAAGCGGCATAATTTGATATATTTTGTTATAATAATTATTTCTAGGATTAATGTTAAGCATACAGAAAGAGAAGGAGTGAGTATCAAGCATCATCGTTATCTTTTATAAATTTTACATTTTTGTTTCCAATGAAACACTCGAAATGAGACGTATATCGCACTTTGTAGGTACAACTAAAACCTAATCTAGCATACTATGACATCTGCAGTGTATAATACTATCTTCGACAAGCAGGTAATTGGCATATTGTTTCTTCCTTCATAATGATGATAATAATATTCAAACGGAGAAGATAATCTGATAACCTTTATAATTTATACAAGGATTTGGTTGGATGCTGTCGAATCACATGCAGATACATTTTAATATTTACTGTTTTAACGAAAGAAGAATATAAAGGATACCAGGATCAAAATGTATAAAATATGATACTATAGCACATACCATGATCTAAGCAAATTCGTAGCACAATTATAATTCTTGTTATACCTTTAGGATGCCTTCAGGTAAATGCCCAAGAATGTTTCATTCAAGGAGATAATAATATTCGGCGTATGTACGGAAGTAACAATTTGTAATATATTTTTCATAGGAAAAGATTTGACTCTTTTCGTTTTAATTCTTTGGCATAAACCAGACAAAGAAAGCATTACACAATACATGGTGACACACAATCAATGTATAGGTATGTCTTTTAATAAGAAATATGTTAATCAGATATTCGGAATTAGATATGGAAAAAAAAAAAAGAAAAAAAAAGAAAAGAAAAAAAAAAAAAAAAAAAAAAAAGAAAAAAGGGTAATAGACTTTACTCCATCTCTTTCAATTGCCTGACCTTTCCTTGTCCCACCTGAATGTGACAATGGAGAGAGTTGGCCGATTCTGATGGCTCGAGGCTGCCTTGATGGTTTCCAAATATCGTGTCAATTGAGTTTCAACCCCATCATAAGTAGTAGCATCTACTACAAAGACATCGGTAAGATCGTCTGTTAACAGTTGACACGAATAACCGATGTTGATGGCCGTTTCTATGAGAAAAGAAGGACATACGATCAGGTGGTAGGCGGTATATGGTAATTCATAAATGAAATATATGATAAATATCATAATACATTAATAGAGAAATGAAAAATAACGAAGAGGAAGGATTTATGGATTTATCATTTTATAAGAAGGTCAAAAAGTTTTCTCTTTAAATTCATATCAAAGATCGTTGACAGATCAAATATTATTGTTCTTATAAATTTACCTTGTTTATCACCTGTTAATACCCACACTTTTATGCCAGCGAGTCCTAAATTCGCGATGGTTTGGGGTACACCATCTTGTAATTTATCCTCAATGGCAGTAGCACCTAATAACGTCATATCTTTTTCTATCTCTTCGTATATGGCGTCCAATTTGTCATCTCTATTCTCATGGCTGAGTGCCGCTTCTTGATGACGTTGTTTCCAATTATTAAAGAAGCTTTCATCTAAATCTCTCACTGAAAGGCACAATGTTCTCAAACCTTCGCCTGCAAATTTATTGAGATGATCCAAAGTCTTTGACATAATTTCATCGCTATCTTTCTTCAAACGTTCGTAAATGACATTGTCTGCTCCTTTACAATACAACCTAAGATGTCCATCCTTTCTCAATATTACAGACATTCTTTTTCTGACATTATTAAAGTCTAGAATACACAGTAGCTCATATACTTCACGCTTTCCCATTACTTCGATCGTTATGCTATTAGGAGATCTTTCTTTAAAGACAAAACCAAAATTTCTAGCTGCTGAAACGAGCGCTGCCTCGTCCGGCGACTGTGCTTGATACTCGAGCTTTCCGTGTTTCTCTTCTGGCATAACGGTGTGGCATAGTGCTAATAAGCGAAAGAAACTGTGAACATCTTCATTGCCTTGCTTGACAGCTTCCAAAAGTGCAGGATCGTAGAATTTAAATTCAGGCTCGTAATCCTTGTTAAATGAAAAATCCAGGGGTGGCATCATCTGTAATAGTAGAAACGATATTACATGAAATATTATTTCCTTTGTAAAGTTTTATCTAGAGTCAGTAAGAAGAGTGATCATATATTTTTATTAGTACATAGAGAAACAAGATGGGAAAAGAAATGTCAGAGCACAGATTATATGCATATGTGCGATATATATACCTCTCTTGTTATAATTTTATAATAAAGACCTCGTCGAAATACGGTGAAGAGATGGTGTTAGTTGACTCGTCCTTGAATTATTCAAGAAAATAATGTATATGAGCGAGTATAAAAAGTTCAAAAAGTATTTTAACCTACTACGACGAGATGAGCGTGAGAACGACATAAAACATGCACATCTAATTTTATTACACGGCATAATTGTAATGAAAAACGATAAGAAATATAAATTTCTTGTTATTCATTGATATAAAAACAATATGCAATTATTGAATTAATGAATTAAATTTATGTGTAGCGAGCATAGTGACAGAAAGAAGAAAACGAATATAATACAATTTTGGCACGGCCGACAGATGCGTGTCGAATATGAACATGCGTACTGAATGTTTGTGTTGAAGCTTTGGGCTGGCACTGATTCCTGGTTCTGGTGTTGTACTGGACATTCTGTCAGCTTGCTCCAGAAGACGGACGTTTGGACCGCTAAGCGGGGTATAAACTTGACGAACAAATTCCTGTCCGCTCTTCCATCGCATTGTTGGAGTTTGTGCAGCTTTGTCCGTCTACATGCAGCACACACATGCTAAGTGATGTGCACGAAAACTTATGCACAGTATGGATTTACAAAGAGATAGTGTCACTCTTTTTTTCTTTTTTCTTTTTTTTTTTTTATCAACACTTGGTATTTTTCTTTCGGTTTTCTTTCTTTTACGTACTCCAACTTATAATTTAGCAAAATAAAATGAAAATATGATATCGCTGATAACGAAATAATACAGTAAGAAAATCAAAATTGTTGAAAGTTGAGATTTAATCGAAATAATTATGACAACGATGACAAATGATTACTTTGGAGAAAACTCCATAAATGGAAGACAAACGGATGGATACTAAAGTCCAGGATTTCGAAGTAGAGGAAGGAAATTTCACGCTACTAACACGCGACTTTTCAGGTCAAATATGTTTTCTAATTTGTCCAAGTTCTAACCAAGCAAATTATATCATATTGCATACCATACTGTGCCACCATATATGAATGTAAAAATAAGTAACTCGTGAATAAACACAATTTCACGACGTACGGATAAAAAAACAATGGAGTTCGTAACTCAATAATATAAGAAGAAGGAGAAGAAGAAAGAAAACGATAGATAAATAGACAGACAGCCAGCCAGACAGACAGATGGATAAACAGATAAATAGAGAGAGAGAGAGAGAGAGAGAGAGAGAGAGAGAGAGAGAGAGAGAGAGAGAGAGAGAGAGAGAGAGAGAGAGAGAGAGAGAGAGAGAGAGAGAGAGAGAGAGAGAGAGAGAGAGAGAGAGAGAGAGAGAGAGAGAGAGAGAGAGAGAGAGAGAGAGAGAGAGAGAGAGAGAGAGAGAGAGAGAGAGAGAGAGAGAGAGAGAGAGAGAGAGAAAGAGAGAGAGAACTCCAGTGTGCTTCAAAAGTAGATAATTCACGTGTAAAGCACAATTCGTTTCTTCGTTAACAAAGGAATCTTCATACGTTGTGTACGAACGGATTCACAATAGATGCACCTTTGATAAAGAACAGGATGATGTTACATACATTAAAAGTGTATCTCACCTCGCTTAAATCGACGACTTCTCCAGTAACTTCGTCTACAGTGTCACCGTAACATTTACCAGCTACAGAACACTTATTAAAGGTCATTATATTTTGCGTTAATGTTCCAGTTTTGTCAGAAAAGATGTATTCTATCTGACCCAATTCTTCGTTTAACGTAGTAGTCCTAGCCTTGGCATGTGTATTCGTAGGCGCGTAGTACATTTCTTCATCCCAATTGATCAGAAACGACTGCACGAATCTGATCACTTCGACACTCACATATAAACTGATTGGCACCACTGTGTTCAATACAATAGCATATGAAAAGAATACGAGGAGAGCGATCACTGTGGCACCTCCTAAAGGTTCGCTAGGCACTAACGAGTCCCAAGGTAAATACACTTGAAAATATCGACCCACGAGGCTCTCCCAAATACCACAACCGATCATGCAAAACAAACACATAGAAAGCAAGAAAAACACTATTCCAATAATCAGAAGATTCAGCAGCCTATCTATAGAGGTCCTCTTAAATTTGGTCTTCCCTGAGTTTTGCATTAATTTGGTATCCTTGCCCGCAAAGATGACCACGCCGTAGCACCATTGTGTATTTCTTAGTACACAACCTCGTAATATGATTTTGTCGTTATCCAACGCGTATCTGTAACACAAAAGTTAACAATTTTTTTATTATCTTAAACATTACAATATTATCGGATAATTTATGTTACGGGTGAACGTATTTTCTTGTTCACTTTTCTATCCTTACTTCCGTCCTCTCCACGTTAACGTGCCATCAAACTTATTCAACAAATTGTTAGGCGTTTCGCAAACGATTTCACCGTCGAATTGACCAATTGATTCATGGTTGTCCATCATTTCGGCAGTCTCAGTCAAGCATTGCCGGCATTTTAAATTAGTCTCCCTAAAAGAATAAGATAGAAAATAATATAGACTCACAAATATCGGATCGGTGAATCTACAACAACATAAAATATTACTGACCCATCCAATTCTGCCGTTTCGATGTAACAAAGACCATTAGGTTCGCTCGTTGATAGAAGAAGAACGTCCGCCGCGACAAAGTGATCATTCTCCATTCTTATAACGTCCCCAACTTGAACCTGAGACCATTTCTCTTCGCGTAAGCTAGTGCCACGCAATGTTTGTGACTTTCTATTATTAACTTGTGAATCGCTGCTATGCCGTTGCTGAAATTGATACAAGTCAGTATAATAAATGAGCTTAGAAAATATTTGATAAAAGAAAAAAAAAAAAAAAAAAAAAAAAAAAAAATATTACTTACAAAGTCGTCGTAGGCATCCTTAACGGCAGTGAGCATAAGTACCCCTATGAGCGGTATAGCTGTCGTAATGGGAGTCAAAGAGGATATGGCGGGTATCATTTGAAGCACCAGCAGGCATAGGAAGTAAAAGTTGGCGAGCCGTTGAAATTGCTCGAACAAATTCAATGGTAGGAACGTCAGAACCGAATACTTGGACGTCTTTATGTAGTTGTTCTATACAGAGAAAAGACGCTCTTACATCATCGTATCTTGTTTTGCGCGATGCGCGCACGATTAAAAATAAAATCAATTTTACTAGTATATGAATAAGATTAAAGAATTAAATCTTACCGCATAATTAAACTGTGAATTGTATTCGCGATTATTGGCGCGGATGCGCCTTTCTGTTTCTAGAAGAAGGAAAATTTAATATTATTAACGTAAAAGAGTATTCGTAAATTGATAAAAGACGATTGCTCGATGATTCTCATAGAATAACGCTGAGATTTTTCGTTGGTGATATTTCTCGTCGCAAGGGGATTTTGAGACGGATTCGATAGACGGTTCTCGTGTTCGAGAAGAAATTAACTAGGCGGTAAAGACTCACCGCTAGAAAAAAAAGATGTACTACGACCGATACATTCTGTGGCAGGTGGTGAATTCGGAGGCACACTGGAAGAGGACGAAGCAGCAGTTGTGGAACGATACCTGCTGCCCTTCCATATGACCAGCTTGCCCAGTACCGTAAGCAATGATTCCCTGAAGGTATTGTGCCTGCTGGTACCACCAAGACTGCTCGACGAATCTCTTTTGGAGCATTCGTCGACTGCCTCAACAACTTCTTCGGACGACGATGGAAGATTCAATACTGCGTGAATCGATACGTCTTGTTGCTCTTGCAGTTGTGGCTTGTTGCGCATTTTTCGCCGTTTTCGCTTCTTCTTACGGATTTCGTTTCCATCTTGAATGCAAATGTCCACAGCGCACATGGCTGCTTCTTTCGCCGCCGCCGCCGCCGCCGCCGCCGTCGTGGTTGTGGTCGTCGTCGTCGTCGTCGTCGTCCTCGTCGTCGTCGTCGTCGTCGTTGTTGTTGTTGTTGTTGTTGTCACCGTCACCGTTACCGTCGCCGCCGCTGTTGTTGCTGCTGCCGTTACAGTCACCGTCGTTGTCGTTGCCGTTACAGTCACCGTTGCCGCTGCCACCGCCGTCGTTTTCGTCGCCGTCGTTGTCGCCGTTGCAGTCGCCGTCGTCGTCGTCGTCGTCGTCGTCGTCGTCGTCGTCGTGGTCGTTGTTCTTTTTCCTTCCGTAACATCGGTCTCGTCACACTCTTTTACCTTCGTCCCATCATAACGAAGAAGAGTTAGAATAACGGAAGGGTGTATAAGATACGATCGAAAAAAGATCGCTTGGCACGACGCGTTGCACATCCTCCGTGGAATTCTATACGTTTTCATTGTACTTTTCACGATATATTCATCACAATAAAAGAAAAAAAGTTCACTATAATAATGGTAAATGAATCTTTAAACGTGACTTTTATGATCTGAGCGGAAACGAGAGTAACGTTTGACGCGCGTGCCAAACGAGCCGCGTGACAGGATACGGTAGAGTCCGATGCAAGAGGCAGACACTGGAAAGATCGGCAATAAATTTGGAATCTTGAGTATCATCATTCTCAAGATTGTAATTTCGTCGATCGTTGAGAGAGAGAGAGAGAGAGAGAGAGAGAGAGAGAGAGAGAGAGAGAGAGAGAGAGAGAGAGAGAGAGAGAGAGAGAGAGAGAGAGAGAGAGAGAGAGAGAAAGAGAGAGAGAGAGAAACTAGTACAAAGGAAGCCTCATCATCCCTTTGAAGAATTCGACTTTGCATTGGCACATTGATCTCCTCTCTTTCGTACTAACATTCAGCAAGAGCATTCGACTCGAGTATACCGTTCTCGAGAATTTGGAGGACTCACCTCGAAGACTTCGAGTTCCAGCGTGTCGACCTCGACGCTCATCGTCTATCCTACGCACAAGCTATAAACCCTCTCTATGGCCAACCTCTTCGTCTTCGTGGCACGTAGGAGGTGCCGAGGAGACGATGTCCGGCTCGCCTTTTACATTCTTCTTCTCCCGTTTTGAACCCTCCTCTTCGTCCGTCCGTATCATCGCAGCTTCCGCAAGGCATGAATCTCTCCAAAGACGTCGCGCGCCCTACGTCGCGCTAGGTATCACGAACCACTTTCTCTTCGTTTCCTTCCCAACTCGTCTTGCAATCGTAAAACCGACGAGAGACGCGCATTTTTAAGCGCACGCTGAACCACTCTAAGAGGTCCCCCTTATTTTTCTCCCTTCCCTTTTACATATCCTTTAATTGGTCTTTAAACGCAATCCGACTGATTTATTAGGTGTTAATGTCTTTCTCCCATTGTTGCGCGATATCCTTTTAAGTAAGAAATTGGAGAGATTTGAGAAATATGCTTTTTTTTTCTTTTTCTTTTTTTCGACGAGGCTCCGAGACGTTTGACGAACAACGACGACGGAATGTTTCCTTCGCACAATTATTTTTTTCGTCCGATAAGAAAATTACTGCTTAACAATGTTATTTTAACGCGTTTAATTTTCTTCAGCGTCCCTCCCCGAAAAAGCGCGAAAATTGAAGGATACCGCGATTAGAGACGTCTACCTATCTACAGCGCCACTTACGTTTCTCTATCTCCCTGTCACGTGATACGTATCTAGCCTTTTCTAAACGCGTTCCACCACCACACTGAGGCCAATTTGAAAAACTTATGCGGGAAAATGACTTGATAGAGAAACATTTGACGTCTACCATCCCTACACTTTTTCTTAACGTTGATCGCATAGCTCGTTTATTCGAACAACGACCGTAAGGATATCACCGTTAAACGATCGAAAATAAGGGTGTTTCACGTTCCAATGAGTGATCGATTTAAACGTGATCGAAATCATAAAGGAACGATGAATTGGTCGATGCACGTATCGATGCTAACATCGTTGTGCAATAAAGATTGGCGCGAACGCGTTTCTCTTCAATGAAAGACGGTGAAATGAACGACAACTCCCTTTGATTTCATACAAGAAAATATGTCTCGAAGGAGAATCATTCACCGTCATCCGTCGTCGTGGTCGTCGTCGTGGTCGTCGTATCGTTTTTCACGTAACGATCATCCACAAGGGAACGATATGTCAGAGAAGATATCCAGGATCATGAGAGCGATAGTTAATGCGAAAAACTACGAGGAAACAGGATTCTGTTGTCTAGCGCACTAGGCTCGAAAAGCGGAAGGCGAGAAAGGTGAACGAGCAGGGAGGACTGTTGGAGGATGAAGAAGAGGAGGAAGAGGAGGAGGAGGGAGAGAGGACCGATCGATATCAGGCGTCGACGGTGATGTCCCGTAACACGAGGATCCCATCGAAGGAAGCAAATGTCGATTTGCACCGATTTTATGTATTCTTCTTCTTCCGTAAATGCCTTCCACGATGAGGATCACCGAGTAGGACGACGAAGATGACTATACTACAATGACAGCGCATATAGTAGTACAGTGATTGAATGCGCGCTTGTTTCTTCTGGTTTGCGACAAAAGCAGCGGCACTAGCACTAACAATGAAAATTGGAAAACGAGGAATAGGGAGAAAAAGAAAGGAGAAAAGAAGAATGAGAAATAAAAGGAGAAAGAAGTGGAGATACGCGCGACCGAAGGAGCAGCAGCACCCAAGTATTGTACGCGTAAACGACTTTAAGATAATTTTCACAAAGCATACACTGGAGGCACTTGTCTACCAGTCTATTTTGTTCTCTCTCTCTCTCTCTCTCTCTCTCTCTCTTCCTTTCTCTGTCTCTCCCTCTCTCTCACTCTCTCTCTCTCTCTCTCTCTCTCTCTCTCTCTCTCTCCCTTTCTCGATGTCCGGAACACGACGTAGCAAAGCTCCACAACTCGTCGATGAAATTACGGTTCGACGGCCGTCGAGTGACTTTGAGGCGTCGCCCCTCGACGGCGCCACGTGTCACGACGCTTACGCCAACGTCGAACGACGACGATGACGCCGACGCCGACGCCGACGCCGACGCCGACGCCAAAAGCGACATGGATGTCGAGATTGACGTCGACGCCTACAATAGATAAAGAAGATTGCTGCGTTAACGACGACTTCGAGAGCTAAAGCGCGAATTTTTGAGCGCCATCGGATAGGATACACGCGTCTATCAATCCAATCTCATCTTCTCAAAAAAAGAAAAAATCATCGAGCATCGAGAGATATCGAAGAGAAAAAAGCAAATAAACAAAGGTAGAAAAAAGAAAAGAAACTTACCTTGCATGGGACGCGTAGATGCGCTGCGCGACATTTTTCGTCGGCGGAAAGCGTTGATTAGGCTTGTTAAAATTGCTGATTAGGCTCTTTTGGACGGAGTCTATCGATATGCCTTTTACATGCGTGACGACGACGACGACGACAACGACGACAACGCGTGTCGATGCGTGTATCGTAATAAACGCATGAAACGTGTTTGATGTCGACGCGTCCTCGTCCTCGTCACCGTCGCCGTCGCCGTCGCCGTCGCCGTCGCCGTCGACTTCGTCGGTACCAGCGAAATAAGGAGAAGTAAAAGTTTGCGGTCGAGGGTGGTAATTCGCTAGACGAATCGTTGTCGTCGTTGTTCTCGTCGTCGTCGTCGTCGTCGTCGTCGTTATCGGAACGGCGACGAATCCTCGAAGAAGGGCCAAAGAACGGCCGAGGAGAAGAGAAATTATCGTCCTCGAGCGTCGCGCTTCTCTCGCGCTCCGCTCGGATATTTCCTGGCGATATAATGGCGATAAAATATCCACTTTTGAGGATATGGGTGGTTTCTCGAGGGTGGCGTCCATGTGGGGTGAATGGTCACCTCCGGCCTACCCTCTTGTTACCACCGCTGTCGTTGTCGTCCTCGTCGTCGTCGTCGTCGTCGTCGTCGTCGTCGTCGTCGTCGGCGCCACCACCACCACCGCCACCGCCACCGCCGCCGCCGTCGTCGTCTTTCGACCGATCCCACCTCCACCTCCAGGACCACCTTATCCTTCTTCTTTCGATACTACCGCTGCAGCTCCTCCGCGTTCTCCTCCACGTCGGAAAAATATGGCTCTCGATGATTATCGGGGAAACCGATCTTCTTCTTCCACCTCTTATTCCCGTTGCCGCTATTGCCGTTCTCCTTTTCTTTCCTTCTTCTTCCTCTTCCTCCTCTTCTTCCCAACACCAATTCTTTCCTGTAGAAATTCTCAATCTCGACGCTAGTCCTCCTCCTCTTCCGCCTTCTCTTTTCTCGCTATTGGACAAATGAGAAACTGTTAGCTTAACCGCATTCCGACTTGCGATTAGATAAATTCGATGCCATTTTTATCGCACGATTCGATCGTACCAACGCAAACCGGAAGATGCAATCCGGTCGATTCGAGTAAAACCTATACAAATCTACTGTTTCCGTTACGCATTCAAGAAACCTTGATTCGAATAGTAAACTTTCCGCAAGACTGACGTGTCTCCTCAAACCAAACGTAAACTCCTATCCCACGACGTACCGACGTATCTATACGTTCCTATCGTTGCATCATAAATATAGATTTCTCACTGGTCATCTCCATGCAACGAAATGACGCGTCATTTTATTACGCGGAAAAGATTGAGAAATAAGAATGAATAATTATAGACGACAATCAATGTTCCTTATTATAGAGCCAATGTGGACAATAAGGAAGGAATTTTTTCAATTCTTTTTTATTATTTTTTTTTTCCCCGAATAAATTACATCGATGCATCGATAGAGTTAACAATACAACATCTTTTTCATGAGGCTTAATAGCGTAACGCGTTTCGAGCGACGTTACGAGGACAATCTCGTAAATCATCGACGCGGTTATGTAAAGCTAACATAAATAAAAGGACGCACAATAAAAGGACTCACGATTACGCGTGTAGTTGCGTGTGTTTTATCGTTTTCGGCTCGTCTTACTTCAATTTCGAATTTCGCGAAAATAGATCGACGAAACAATATGTCTTTCGACATATACTCCTCTCTTACCTCCAACGATAGATATCGTTTTTTTCTTTTTTCACGACGTATAAGTAGATCCGCGTAGATATATCTAGAGAGATATATATCTGAGACATGTGTAAATACAAGTATCTAACGTTCTGTACATAGTCGCGATAACTGGTAGCGCGTCATCGAACAATGTCAAAAAAGCAAACTAATATAGGAAACGAGAAACGGTATATTAATATATACGGTGCGCATATATCTTAAATAATTCGACTCTCGTCCCGTTTTGATATTTCTTTTATTAAAATATACCTATATGTGCCATCCTCTCGATTCGTTTCGTTCTCAACTTTTCTACGCGAACGGCTTTGAACATAGTCCGATCTCGCTGACGTTCGAAGGTTTCAGCTGTCCGTCTATGAATGAGGCCTTAACGCGCTCTTTATCGTCTCCCTCATGCTAATTGAGTTAACGCCATGCGTGGAATGAAATTTGCGATTCACGAAGAGCGAGATTCGCTAAAGAAAAACAGAAGAGAAAGAGAGAGAGAGAGAGAGAAAGAGTTGTTCGGTGTGAAATTTCCTTATCATTTTCACCGATCGATATTCCCTCATTAGATCGTACGAGCGCAATCATTGAAAATTTGCATCGCGATGCGGTTCGCGCGATTCGACACCAACAAGTGTACAAATATACTTGCAAGACTGAAATCTGAAAAATCGCCGAGTTCGACGCACGGTTACAGAGAGATTCTCGACCGAGCAGTTGGAGATGATCCAAGGTTAGCGACATAGACCGCATCGAAAAGTGAAAATACGAGAATCTTCGCTTCGGTCGTCGTGAATATTTGAGTTTGATAAGACTTACATTCCGTAAGATGGTATCGATATCTACATATACGTATACATGTACTATATGTACGCCTGTGTGTGTGTGTGTGTATTACAACGCGAATCATCATAAAACAATCGAGATAACTAAATTAATATGACAGACTTTAGCACAATTTGCTAGTCATCGTTTGTATTTCTCACGGCAATCTCGGTGATCTATAAAGATCCTCCAACAATAAGTTCTTCGAGACAGACGAAAATATGTTTTCATTTCAAAAAGAGATATAACGAAAAACAGTAACGCGGGTGTCAACGTTAAAATTAACGATAAGTTCATCGCGTGACCGAGATCCATTAGAATAGCGCCGAAATGGCGTTCCTTCATTCTTTTTAATTCGTTGACGTTTCTTTCTAATTAATACGCGTCGGAAATCGGAATAAGAATCTATTCCAGAACCGTTCGATTTTATTTATAGATTCTTACGTCTGCCGCAAAGAAATCACGAGGTTTCCCACTGGCCGTTTCGATAAAATTTATATATATTATAGATTGTGCAATTTATTAAAAATAATAATTTTACGGAAAATCTTTGCAAGCGAATGCATACCTGTAATGATATTTCACAATAGTTTTATAAATGTTACGCTTTCACGTAATTAGTTACTCTTTAATAAGATTACTCTTCGATAGCACGCTAAAGATCATTTTGGGCGTACGCACGGAGATGACGATTGGCCTATTGCCAAGAAACACAAAAATCAAGAGTCTTCGAGTCGTATTCGATAGTTTTAAGAAAAAAGTAACGTACGATAGAAGGAACATGAGATTTTTACCTTGTGGACAGAGAAGACTCATCTCTTGGCATAGTAAAGATATCTCATTTATCGCGTCCACCCAAGAATGATGGGAGGAGGAAAGAGGAAGTCTAGCTATATACCGATAGAATTTAAGATCGAGCGTGATTCCTCCTTTCGTCTTCGAGCATCGCGCTAAGATAAAGCGAGCGCGCGCGCGCTCGCTCACGCTCGCGCATTTGCGCATCCGCGAATTCGCGGACTTAATCGAACGAGACGATGGGGTAAATGTAATTGGTCGAAAACGAGAGATTTCTTTTGAGAGGAGAACGCGAGGACGACGTACGCAGTTATTATTATTCGAACGCAACAAGAAGACACGTGCGTGTAGTAACAGCTTCACGTTCACCGTTCGATACTAAGATGCGTTCGGAAGAAGAAGCGTCCAGTCTCTAACTTGCAAACTTCTCTACTAATGCGCGCCGCGATCCACCGCAAAAACCGAAGAACCACCGCCGCCGCCGCCGTCGCCGCTGCCACCGCCGCCGCGACGGCGCGTCGCGTTACTTTCCTTCCCTCTTTTAAAAAGCTTCATTATATTCGCGTGAGCCTTATAACGCGATCCGAGGAACATTGACATTTTGCAAATATCAGAAGAGAGACATTTTCCTCTTTCTTTATTTGACATTAATCGTACGACGACGTTAGAAACGTCAAAGGCGAAAGACAAATTTCATTGGGTGAAAGTATCCGATAATAACAAACAAGTGATGGTGATGTTTTGTTATTGGTCGCTTGGGAGTCACGATGCCCTTTGAAAATCACACCGTGATTCCCTCATCACGACTCGTGATCTATTACGTAAATGATCCTTCAACTTCTTCCCATGATCGTCTCTTACATATTTATATTACTAACGCAATGTACGTCGGATACGCGTGCATATATATATATATATATATATATATATATACACACACACACACACACGCGCGCGCGTAGACTCGAGCTCAATGAAAGGGAAAAGTAACCATATGTATCGGTGTATAATGTAAGTGTCTCTACCCTCTTTATGCATTTATAATACTTTACAACCTTGGAAAAAACTAACTACGCTACATAATAGCGTATCTGCGAAAGATAACAACGCGATAGTCTATTGAAACTATTTTCCGACGATCGGTGGGACGCTCCCTCCTTTAATGATGACACGATTACCAGCGATTCCCTGGGAAATAATGCACGACTAGGCTGGGCTTCGAGTTACTTCCAAAAGTAACTCGAAGCCCAGTGCGACCGTCCATCGTCATAATCGAGAATAAAGAATGTGCGACTTTTAATGGAAGAACCAAACCCCTGCGATGACCGAAGGGTAGGGCCGGAGATAGCAGAGGGCGCGGCATGACCAATGACAGATATCGTTCCTTTTAACATTACCCCGTACGGTAATACGATCTAAACGTGACCGACATCTTTTTACCTTACATTTATCATCCGTCCTGCGAATATTATTTAAGCCCAAGTACAGAGATTCCGCTGAAACGGGATTTACTTTTGATCCTAGCCCTTTTTTATCAAATAATTCGTAACATATTTAAGACACGTTAAAGCGCATCTTTTCAAAGGCTATATAGTCGAATTAGAATAATTAACGAAGAGAAATACGTAAGACGAAAGAGAAATAACTAGAAGAAATAAGAAAAAGAATAACAAGAAATATTGCTCGTTGAAAGCAGATGACTTGATCGACGAGATACTTAATAAATGGTTCATTAGTTCCAATATCTTCTAATAGGGAAAAGAAGAAAAAGGATGGTCGTCGGCTCATATAGTTCGATTCGACCTTTCTTTCGTTTAACGTCGTAGTTAAAAAGTAGCTCGAACTCGTACCATCGAAAGTACGGCTTTTATCAATGATTCAAGACAGTGTACCGCTTTTAAAGTTGCAGAGACACATCGTATCGGACTGTGGCCGTTTGTAAGCGATATCACTTTCGCATAGAGCGAAGCAGAGCATCGTTGTGGCGGTCAAGGGCGAGCGTATCCCCTTTAGGATAAGTAGGATGTGTGTGTATGTGTATATTTTGTCCGATAACAACGTTCGCTTTCATTCGTAACCAAATAAAAAGGTAAAATAATCGTTACGGTTCAAAATTATCTTTAACATCGAGCATAAAAAATGTAAAGAGAACGTTTTAAAACTCGAGGCTAGTAATACTTGATGCGTCTTCGTGATTGGCCTTTCAACGACGGTCAAGGCCTCCCCAATGGTAAGCATTAGTCGTCGTTTGATCGCAAGAAAACGATTGAACCACGTCAGACGCAAAGCTCGCTGTCTACGATTTCTCACGATGGAAGGCGGGAGTAAAATAATTGGAAGAGAAATGAGACGCGAATTCATTCCCTCCGACATGACGTACCTATCGAGCGCAAAACTCAATGCCGACTGTCGCTCTTTCGTTCTCTCTCGACTCGAACACGATCGTCCACGCGCCTCCACGTGCCTTCACAGACCTCTTCTCAGGCGGATCCACTTACCTACTGGCCATATCTGTCTTATACAGGATTGCTACCAATGCCCTGATTGTATGCCATCATGTAACGGTATATACAAATTTATATAATACCGAACAAATTTCCTATTTTCATTGGTGAATTTAAGAATTGATAATAATAATAATAATAATAATAAAAGGGAGAGATCACGGGGCGGAAAGGGATTACGATTCGTCGCTCACCGACGACACCCACAGTTGTACGGTGGCTACGAGAATATCTATTATTCAAAGCTCCGCTACGACGGATCGATGTAGTGACCGAACTAAGGTTATCCAAAGGATCGCTCCTCCACGTGTTCTTCCTTCGATTTTTTTTTTCTTTTTCTTCCTTCCCTTAGATACGGTATAATTCATATGACATCATTTTTTGTTAGGTCTAAACAACTACTGAATTATAAATAGATAAACTTAAAGAAAGATTGAATGATTATCGAGTGCTAAGTGATAATCTACGTTAATATCGCTTCGACAACGTATTTCAAATGATATATAGCGCTGTGTATATCGTTCGAACGGAATATATTTGTTTTCGTTATTTCGACTTAATTAAATTCGAAACATCGCGTTCGAAGAACGCTCTACTAATATGGAATGATTTACTTTTGTCGGATAATTTCAAATGCTTCGTACGAAGTTTTTATCTCAAACCCTGATCGTCCAAGGATTTCTTTATTGCCTGTACTTTTGATACCTGTTGCTTCGTTAATACATGTTTACAATGATAACGAAAAGCTATCAGTGTGTATACGTCATGGACTATTATATATATAATTTCGCAATTAAGGCTATTTACTAAAACTTCGTCAGAGATCTATCCTTGTCCGATTTTGAGAAATGAATGATGGATTCGAAAGATAAAAGACAACTAGATTGATTTTTTTCGATCTTTAAACTTATATCAAGAGATGACTTTTTCAGAATGTTAGGAAATTGTCACATTTTTGCCAACGTTACAATTGCTATTATTCAAGATCGATTTAAATGAGAACAATACTAACTATTAAAATTCTACAAAAAAGTACCCTTCTATAATCTTTTATTTTTATAAATAATTATTTATTCGTTAGAATTGGTCTACAATCGCAGCTAGATCGATTCTAACGAAAAAAGCCTTATTGGAAGGATAAATATTTATTGCACGAGAATAATTCTTTTATATATATATATATACATTTTATATAAAAAAAGCAACGAATCAGTTTTCTTAATGAATCCTTAGTCATGAAAATCTACCAGTAATTACTTTTAGAAGCGTTCATACAATAAACCATTATAATACGCTTCGTGGATTTATCATGTGATTATACTTATCGTTACGCTATGTCATTACAAGATAAATGCATGTTTCTTGTATCTAATCTTTATTCATTACGTTACTTTCCGGAAAAAAAAAAAGAACTATAGTCTTCGTCCAAAAGAAAAAAATTAAAAATAACTATGCCGAATAATATTATTTAGTTAAATATGAGTATATCATTATCATCTATCGTTATGTAACTTATAGCTTATATATTTACATAGAATCGTGACCATAGCATATAACAATTGCAATAGGAGAAATAATTTCCAGTTCTCACGTTACTTTGTACAATATGTAACGATTCGCTCGTCGAGATATACCGGGTGAGGCACTTAAAAAGAAGACTAAATAATTTCATTATTTTTAGTTTTGTGGGCAAAATGTTCAAAATAAAATCTCACTATTCTCAAGCGACATATCCAATGGGTGTAGAAAAATAAGTTTCTCTCAAGGTCATTTTTTGTGCGCAATTTCAAGATCACCGGTATTTTTTTTTAATCGAGTTCTACAACTTTTTCCGCCTGAATCGATTTCTTATGCCATTTTGCCATAAAAAAAAAATATATTAGGATGAAATATCGAAAAATGATTAGTTTGCGAAATATTTTTATTCGATGTTTTTTCATGTCACGATTCTTTTGATCAAGTGCAATGATGCAAGCGCATTCACGATCATTCTTTTTGAAAGAGCAATACGCACCATTAAAAATAGCGTTAACTTTGAAATAGCGTCTCGAGCATTTTTTCCAGAAAATAAAAGCGGACGGAGTTAATATCTTTTAAGTGACTCGACGTGTACTTGTCTACAATCCAGACACAAGGTAAAATGTGACATCATTTGTAATTCCAAGTATTTATCTGATAATATTTAGTTTCATTGTTAATTTTTCATATTTTTTATAAGTTATGCTCACGAAGGAAAATATCCAACGTAGAAATACAGAAAATTACGAAAATACGTAGAGCATATTATAGGTATGTGTTACGCAAGTTTCTTTTTTCTGCTGCTAAAAATTCAGTCCTAGAGAGTAAAATCGATCCTTGAAAACTCGGCTATTTTTCGATTCTATCTTATAACTAGGGAACTGTAAAAGGTAGCAAAAAAAAGAGTTACTTCATTTAATTAGAATTAGAAAAAATTATAAATAAAAATATTAATAATTTTTCTAAAATTCATTTTTCACGTGAAATCCTAATCGATAGTTTAAATAACTATGAAACAACATAATACATATTTTTTTCCCTCAATACATTGTTCACTTATCATTTTAATACTTTGTTGTATCGATGAATTATATTTCTTGACAATTGGAAAACTTTTACATATCACAGTCTGATATGCATGCTGCATAATAAGGAATTTATTGTGACATTGAAACGTACATAGAAAAAGTTTGATAATCTGTACAGGCTTAATCCATAATCTGTGGTTAGATTAGCAAAGTCAATGGTTCAAAATAACAAAATTGCTTTTTTTCGAGAATGTACTTAAAAATGATTCGAGTACGCATGCACCTAATGGCTTGCTCTTGTAGAATTCATTCACACACACACACCCACACATACACAGCCGTTACTTTGTTACTTGAGGTTTCTCCTATGCGTAATGCGAGAGATACAAGTATCGGAATGTTATCTCGTTTTTGTTTAGCGTTGATAATGAGAATATATTAATATCACATGAAATGTATCGGATGATACATTTTTCTCCGAAGAGCTTCATCGCCATGAAGAGAAGTAGTCCATAATATTCGCCTTTTCAAAGTTATATTCCGACTATACTTGAATTGCTTATTAAACTTTATTATGCATTATCTTACCTTAGAGAGAAAAATAAAAGGAAAGTTTGATAATCGTGTTTAAAAATAAAAAGTTGTAATAAAGATAAGTTATACCTAGTAATTATCTTCTTTTCCTTCATTTTATTATCTGGTATATTTACCGACTGTATAATTAGAGATAAATTATCTTAGTTGTTTAACTGTTAGAGGAATACTGCTTGTCATAGAATGACGTACGATTGGACCCAAAAGTTTTTCGATCGTCAGGAAAGAGAATTCATCGATGTTACAAATCTCGTTTTAACATTTAAAAAACAAAGCACGCTGCTTAGCAATTATTTTAACAACCGACTTGAAGTTTCGGAAAAGTGAATTTTAGAAAAAACTTGTCGCTACGTTTTACTTACAATATCAATTTATATCAAGAAATAAATCATATATCGGTATCTATTATTTAGTCGCTATACTTACTAATGGAATAATATATTGACTTATAGATTTGTACTCGTTCGCAGAGATATTACTGGAACGTATCGATGTAATCATCGATCTATCTGGGAATTGTTTGTTTCGTTATTGTAAGAGATATGTATCGACTTTGTGCGAGCTGTTCCGTAATGATTAACCTTTTAAGTGCCATGGATCGTTGCAAATTAACAATCGAAAAATTCCAAGTCGCGCGCGATCACGTTTTCTCTCAATATCACGAACTGTGGAATTACGAGTAATATTTTTCTAATATTTTCCTAATACTTTTGTAACGTTTCTTCCAGTTCCGTCGATTAAACATTATGATACAGTTTATGATTTTACTACTAGTACGGTTAATAAAATTATAACAGGTAATATATATTTTTAGTTTTTTAGTATTTGTAATACCTAATCGTTATCTCATCATATCCGAAGATTCAACTTTTTCTAAATATAAATTATACTACAAGTTTCTTTCATATTATATAATCTAGATAGGAAAATATATGAAATTATAGGTAAATATTAATCTTCGCAAGTTGCACGCTCACAATATATCCATCCCTATTAAGTTTTTCTTTTTTTTATTTCGTACACACTTAATATACTTAATGATACACGAGTGCGAGTAATGTAACAGAGAGGAGGAAAAAAAGGAAGAAAAAGAAAAAAGGTGAATTATAACGATTTAAAATGGTATATATCGGTGATACGATAAAAGTCGATTATCGACATAGAATGCGGAGTAGTACGATCGTGGCTGCATGCCACTCAACGTTTAACGATCGTACACATTATCTAAATGTCAGCTCGGTTCTTCGAAGGTTCCTAAAGAGTTCTAACGAGGCGAGGCGAGGCGAGGCGAGGCGAGGCGAGGCGAGGCGAGGCGAGGCGAGGGAGGGAGGGGAACAGAGCGTATTTATTTACTAACAACAACGTACACACTGGACGATAAATCGAGATAAGGGCGACAGTGTTCCCCTAACGCGTTTCTATAGTACTTTTCTCTTCCGTGCTGGTCGCTCAAGTCACCTACGCGATTCAAGGAAGAGCTGATGTACGTAGTAGCTTTAACGTAAAACAGTATTTAACGAAAAGGTAAAGGAAGGGAGGAGGAGGAGGAGGAGGAGACAACGTTCGCATACGTTTCTCTGCAAAAAAGAAAAAACATCTGTTGCTTTGAAAAAAGCTCCTAAGGAGTGGTAATGATGGTGACGATGCGGAGCGAGAGGAAACCAGGCAGAAAGAGAGAGAGAAAGAGAGAGAGAGAGAGAGAGGGGGGTATACGAGACTCGTTGACGGATAACCTTTGGGCGATATGAATAATGTTCTCTCGCGAGAGAACATGTAAAAGTTGCCACACGACAAAATAGAAATGTCCCGCTATATCGTAGATATCGGCTAAACTATACCAGCTGTCAAAGGAAAGCATCGCGACATGAGAATATGAAAATGATCCAAGTGGGTTGGAATGTCGGCGAATCGAACGTATCGGTTTCATGATTCGACGTTACGTGTACATATTGAACGAATCGAGAAAGAGAAGAGAGAACACGTCGTAATGTTATTTTTAACGTTATAAGTAAGAAACACTTTGCCTCGATATATACTTATATATACGATTCCATCATATATGTCCTCCTAGGTTAATAAAGTAAGAAATATTGGTAGATTCGAAAGGAACACGGTTTGTCATTGAAGACGTTGCCGTGAAATAGAAACATACGGTCTGGTCTGATTTACATAGGTGAAAATATCCCGAACGTATAACAACGATATAACAATTTACTTTCGTCGAGCCGTTTATGTCGCGTTAAGGTTAAAATGATGGTCGTTCGGTGAACGAAATGCTTACTCACCGCGAGTGGCTATCAGTGACTGAAGATAGCGAGATGTTTTTTCGTTGAAATGACGGGGACGACATAACCCGCGTACGAAAGTAAACCAGCCATGTTGTTTACTGCTTGGAAAAGGGATCTCTTGCCAACGATGCCCTCTGCCCGCCTGTCGCTCGCCTCTCTCAAACAAAAATATATCGAACGACCGAACTGCCATCTTTTCGATTTTATCGATAAATACTTTCCGCCTTTCCTCTCCTGATAAATCAAAATCCCTCTCTTACAAAACGCGATATATCGATATAACGACAAATTTAATAATAAATTTATTGTGGACCGATAATAAAATAAGATTCGTGAACAATCCTGAATTGCGTTTAAATAAAATCAATTTTTATTGCGTTAATCGATTTTATTTAGATGTATCCTAAAACGTCATACCTAGAAGCTTTATTCGAAATAAAAAGTGTAAAAGCAACGCTGGATTTTGATACTTTCTTTCGATATATAATCTATTGATATCCTTACTATTTTATTATTTTCGATTAATATGAATATTTGATTATCGATTTTATTAGACTTACCAGAGCGTCATCAGCTAGACTAAAATCTTCATAACTTTTTCAAATATTTTTCAACCGTTCTCGTTCGTTTTGAATACGCTCTATCACGTCACAAATCTTTTTTCTCCTTCCAATTGCCTTTTTCCCTATGTGAAAATAAAACAACATAATTCCTCGAAAGTACACGTTTTTATCGAACATTTTCAAAAGGACGATTTAAAAAAGATTTCAAGGAAATTTAACGAAACGCCATAATATTACCATACACGTTAAAATATCAGCCATCGCCATCATGTGCACATACGTGTGTGTGTGTGTATATATATATATATACACACATACATATTTTAGGTTAAGAACCACGTGTTGTACCTGTGAACACAAAAGCGCTATCTAGCGCAGAAATTGGACATTATTTTTTGGGCCAATTCAATATACACGAAATGATAATAAATATGAAATACCCTTCCTTCTCTATGTAAATATTATAAAGATAAGGTAAAACGCAATTATGTTTATTCGATGAAAGTTATAATCGTACTAAAGAATAATATACACTATATACAGACAATAAATAATAGTAAATCTTGCCTTAATAAGACTAATTAACAATTATTAATAATAAACAATAATAATAAAGCATTTAGACATTTTCGTACGCACAATGACAACGTCAGCTAACCCTCCATAAGCATATTTTTGGTTGGTCGTGTTTACAAAATAATTATGTAATATGTAAAAATATTACCAGTATGTATCATTATCACAAGTATAGAACTTGTACACTCGTCCTTCGATATACTTGGACAGTACTTTTAAAATATGCAATTAGAAAATGTGTATATTTCTTGTGTACGTGAAAATGCTCTTTTTATTTATTGACATTTATACGATACATCGGTAAGCCTGCAATTTCATATTCGATTAAGTACATTTTTTTTCTTTTCTTTTTCCGTGATACAATATGTTGTATATGTAGGATTTGAAAAAAGAAAAGAAAAGTGAGAAATTTCATCCTTCGATCGAACTAAGAAACTTTAATCTGGCTTTACTAGAGGTTATGATGGGCGACTTACTTACGGACTGCTTGTACATCGCATTTCAACAAATCAACCACAATTAAATATTACTTCCATAATAAATCACTAGACAATCGAAGGACGGTGTACTTGGAGAGAGAGAGAGGAGAGAGAGAGAGAGAGAGAGAGAGAGAGAGAGAGAGAGAGAGAGAGAGAGAGAGAGAGAGAGAGAGAGAAAACCTGAGATAAGAATAAATGTTGCAAGAAAAAAGGTATAATGAAGTTAAACGTAAAACATTTAAGCGTACACGAGTTCAAAACATTACATGCCGTTATAGAGGGTTATAATATATAATGTATATGTATATACGCCCGTAACGTGTAGACGCGCACGAGTCAACAAGGCTTTATATCCAAGATATTCTGCTCTCAAACGTATATAAAGAAAACATTTAACAATGGCATATATTTTTGAATGGTTTAAAATTCTCATCGTAAAGGATTATTATTTTCCATCAATCGTATATATTATATAATTCGACAGAGAAACGGATAATAGAGAAGCAGCACGTTTACCATACGATTTGTCGTCGAATAACAAAGAAGCGTCGTTGCACCAGCATATTGATATTCGTTCCTAATAATAACAATATAATATATACTACTAGATGAGAAGAGAATTTCAATAAATATGAGTGCGTGGTGTAATAAATAATATTCTTACACATCGAGAAATACATGAAAAATGTCTCGTCCGTTAGTTATTGTTTTCAGTTTGACATAGGGACGATAAAATGTCTTCGTAATGCTGCATATTCGTTTCGAACGTTTCCAATTGCTTAGTAAGATCTCCCACTTGTTCTGCCAGTGTTCTTTCCTCCATAAATGCTTGAAGCTGGGGCGCACTTTGGCATTCCCGATAGAAGGCTCCCAAATCGCTGTTAGTGTTAGTAATAGCGAATGGTGTTTTCTAAGAGAAATGTATTAAAGAAAACGCATTAAGGTCTCTTAAAAGTGTAACGTAAATATAAATTTGAAGACTTTAATTACCAAATCTACCATAATGAAATCGTCATTTGCGCTGGTCATAGAACAACTACTTCTTCTAGATTCATTCTGCGAATTGGACTTTGACGTTGTATTATTATCGTTCGACAGTCTTTCATTGTTACCATTGTTGCTGTTGTCCGTGGCAACACCCGCCGTTACGTTTTTCGCATTTACAGTATCGCCGAGAGAACCAGGAGGAGGTGGTGAGGTTTGTCGAGGAGTCAGCAAAGAACTGAACGGTACATCTGGTATAACTAAATCTCCCTCATTGACCATAGGGGGCTTACTAATTACAAATGCCCCTACTTTTATAGTATCGCTCAAAGATTTGGAATTTTCTTCGCTAGGAAAGAGAGGATACGTTAGGAGAATAGGTGTTATAACATTCAATCGATTCGATATAATCGATATTATGGTATTATCGTATGTACCTTTGTTGATAACGGGCATGCCGTGGACTTAGATCCGAATGAAAATGATCGCTTTTAAGCATTATCGAATCTCGTCCCGTATGGGTTGGAGAAATAGTCATTTTAGTCCTATACGAGACCGACAAATGTATCGTACCAACGGGAGTGCACAGTTGTCCTACTCTCACGTGCTTGTAGTTGTCTCCTTTTTTGAACGGAAATAATAATTTCACGAGTACGTATTTTAGATGAACATATGTATAATAAACATATGCATGTAAACGTACCTAAAGTGTGCAATTGAGGTTCCCCCATATATATTCTGTAGCAGATAACGTAAGAGTCTGGTCCTTGTCTACGGCTTAATTTATAAGCTGGAGTAATCCTCGAGACGGAGAGCAACGATTTTAATAAAATACCCATTCTGTTGTAAACCGTATAGGTTACTCTTACTGTAGGATCACTGTGTTCTGGTAAAACGCCTAAACTCCATGTTTCTAAAACCATCGTATCGCCTTCTACGGTCCTCAAGGAGATTTCTATACAAAGCGGTATAGTGGAATTTACTATTTCACCGCAGAGAGCTCTCTTAGCCTCTGCCAAGACATCCGGCAGATCTTGAATCGCCAAGTTGAACTATACAACAATATTATAATAGCTTCTTTATCGACATAAATTTGTATGTCGTCTGAAAATACTGTTTATAATAAAATGTCGTTCATCGAAATCCCGGATTGAGGTTAGAGGAATAATCCGTCACGAATATGTGCAACAATGAGAGAAAATAGGAAAAAAGGCAACTTACCCAATCTGTACCCGATGAATTTGGTTTACACTTTGTGCATACTTTCTCTCCTGACCTGGACTGTACTATGATTTGGGCAGCCTTTAACGCCAAAAATTTCGTAAATTTATCCAAGTCCTTCTTATCCTGCATACTTAATTTCAATGTTGACATGTTATCATTGAACCGTATCCATACGTATTTTTCTAGAAAGGTAGAAACGTATCTCTAGAAGCGAGAAACCTCTTGCCGAGGATCGATACGTAAATACGAAAGTAACACATTTTTATCACTATCCCTTGTCAACTTTTAATTCGTTCCTCTTCTCTCTCTCTCTCTCTCTCTCTCTCTCTCTCTCTCTCTCTATTGCGAATCAATAATGTACGTACAATTTAGTTCATTATTTAAAAAGATAAATAAATAATATCAAAGTGGTCAACGATAATCGTTCAACAATATTGAATCGTTCACTTTGGCAACGTGCTCTATTACACCACGTTGTTGCTATGCCTTTCACTGAAATAAGACACGTTTTTAAATGACATTTCACGATCTTTTTATCTTTCTCAAGTTCTTTATTTATATCGACTGATTTTCAGTAAGTTTTCAAACGTCCACCCGTAATTTGTCTTAGCTGTATTATATCTGTCTTTCCTTTTTTGTACCCTGAACGTTGATCGATCACATTGCTTCCTAACGATGTGTGTTGACTTGATCGCGCGTGCAATCTTTACATAAAACTCGCCCAATTGGAAATATATTCGGAAATCTTATTGGGATTATTAATCTCGTATATCCACCTGTTTTTTCCCATTTTAATAAAATTAATATTTCCGATGGCGATAGAAACTCAACAAGATTTAAACAAATTATACGTACAACGCACGATCGTACTAGAACTAGAGTAACTCGATGACAAGAATTAAGTCATTGAGTATAATTTCATTCGGTCGAGTATTTGCCGTCAGGGAAAAATTATTTCCATAGAAAATTACTTCTTTTTCTTTTTTTTTTTTTTTTTCCTTTTCTTTCTCCCCATTTGTCGTTTCGCCGAAACGACTAGCCGACTTAGACGTTGACAGCCAATAAGAGATCAGTAGCTTTACACCGACGAATAACTCGAACGACCAACGATCTTACTCCACGTTTACTGGCTGTGGCCTTAGATAGAGCGCCATCTGTCGAATATATTCCTGTCGATCGAAATAGCCCCGCGAATTTGAACAATCGAAACTACATTAGATGGAATAGCTTCTTTATCGTTTCGTTGACAATCATATGTTAGTTATAATCTATTGCGCGATCAGCTGTATCTTTCATTTCGAATAATAATAATTCTTTCATCGTTAAAAGTAAATAATAAATGGAAATGAGAAGAGAGAAAATATATATCTTGGTTAGCTCGGATATATCCAAGGTTTTCGATAATTATATAATCGTATCGCATGATCGATATTCATATTCTTTTTTTCATTGCGGGAATCAACAATCCAACAATCGCCTTTGACACGATTTTTGTATCTTATTAGAATATTATCGTCTTGCTCTACATGAACTGCATGATTTATGACATTTTTGTTTCCATCGAGGTTCAAAAAAGTAAAGAACTTCTGGATCGTAAGAAATAATAAATCGTAGTGATAAAATGGGATCGAATATAATGTATTGTCGCAACTGTACGTTCGTTCGATCATCGGCATCGATATTTCTTGCCAATATTACAATGGACAAAAAATGAACGTAAATATCACAACTGGTTTTGATGTAACGATAATCAACGGCCAAAGATGACTAATCGTAAGTTAATTTTATTTGTAGTATCTTACGATTCGAAGAAAGATAACAAGAGTTAGCTTTTCGCATAGATACATCGATAAAGGTTCGATCGTCGCAGCGAGTCTCACTGAGAGAGAGAGAGAGAGAGAGAGAGAGAGAGAGAGAGAGAGAGAGAGAAAAAAGCGTATAGTCAAGAAGAGGGGAAATATTTTTATGGTGGACTGTACGGTCACACCGCGCAACGTGCCAACTGCAATGGAAATTTCCATCGAAGCAGTCGGTCGTCGGCGTCTTGTAGACGCTTCGTTCAACTACGCCTAAAAACGAGATTACGTTCGCCGAACGCGAGGGGGAGATCCTTCCTAGCCTCGAACAATTGCTGATTTTTTCGACCTTCGAATTTTTTTAAACTTCATTTGTCTCTTTTCAAATTTTTTCGTGTTGTATAGAACGCGCGCTATATCTCGTACGTTCTTTATCTCAAAATGTCGCATAAACGGAAGTAATTTATAGGTAGAATTGGTACGACCTAATTACACTCCCTTTTGGAAGAGAGGAAAAAAGAAAAATACATTTGTATGGATAATTCGAAGCTCAACCGTCCTGTCGAAATAAAGGGTTGTTATACAAATGATGCGATATATATATATATATATATATATATATATAAATATGTAGGAGTGTAAAGGTATAAATTAAATAAAAATTTTAATAAATATTCAATATCGATCGAGTAATACAAACGGACAAAGTTGGCTTCTTATCGGTTCTTACGATAGGATCATATTGAAAAGTTCTTTTCGAAAGGATTGCGAAATTTTTGAAGCGTACTGTACAGAGGAGGGTTTGTCGGCGGCGGGCCTCGTGCGTCTGGTCCCCTCTTAGGACAAGGAATCTTTCTCTCTCTCTCTCTCTCTCTCTACAGGGGCCTTGCCGGAGGTTCATGCTCGCGAGATACAAATATTCCTACTAGATAGGGTTTTCAGTCTTTCGTCCGTCACCGTTTTCACTTTATTTCCAAAAATGAAAGGAGAAGAAAAATGAGGAAAAAGAAAAGAAAGCGAGGACGAGAAAAAGGTTATTCCTGAAGGTCGCGCGTCCTTTCTCCAGAGTTACATAGCAAAAGGAGGCGTTTCAATGCGCGATTGGCGACGAGACGTCTGCCATACTTGTTCGATCGCCTACGGAGCAATTTCTATTATCAAATAGCGGCCTGTTCCCGAATCTGGAACAAAGTGTGGGCGAAAGGGTGATATCGACGAGAACGTTTGGCGTTTTCGTTTTTTGGCGCCTCGTAGCTAATACGAATGCGTCATATATAGAATCTTTTCGTCGTTCGTTCAAAGATTTGTACTCTTTGATAAATCTTCTTTACTTTCCTTTAGCCGTACATACGCTTTCCGTATTTGAGCCGTGAACGAAGGAAGGCGCGATGCCAACGCACGCTTCGCCTTCCTCTAGTTTCGCATGAACTTTCGCGCATTTACGTCGGGACTTAGCGAAGCGTCGTCGAATGGAAAGTTTTCACTTTACAATTAGTACGCGACGATCCAAGGAATGCTACACCATCATCCACGATACTCGAGGTTTACTCTACTCGGCGATTCCTCGGCAATCAAAGAGAAAGACGAACCTTAATATCTTTGTGTACGGTTGTTTTTACGCTTTTATCGATAAGTCCGATATTATAACATAAATGGATTAGATTTTTTTTCTGATGCGCCTGCGCTATATCACGGGACACCCATTCTCAAGCTATAAAAGTTCATTTTTAAAAATTAACTTTTCCTATCAAATAACAATTTGGATCTAAATATTTTTATTATTTCCACTCGTATGTATATCGGTCGCTCGACCTACCTATCGCGGTTCTTTTTTTTACCGTGAAAATTGTTACGATAAATTTCTTACGACAAATGTTATTCGCAACGCATGATATATAAGAGATTCCTTTGGTGTAAAAAATATTACGCGATAGCGCGTACGATCTTCTTTATGCTGACTTTTGTAAATAAATTTAAACGAGAAAGCGTTTTAACTCTCTGATATCCGTTGTCATATTGCATTTTCTTTGTAAGTTTTGCTTACTATAAAGAAATTCGAGGAGGACAATTTAATTTCTCTCTGATTTATGATGATAATTATTTTCCACGCATTCGAGGTGTTTTACGAAGAGAAAAAAAATACAAGATGATGATATCATTAACCTTAATCCTGAACAAGTTGTAAGATAAGGAAGGCTTAATTGTTACAACTAAAAACGATTATTCCGGGTACATTGAAATATTATATCCTCGTACGTAAGTAAGAGGAGAAAAAAAGTAAAAGGGAATTTATCAGATCGATTCTACGTTTATGCAATAACAGTCATCTCTCTTATTCTTATAATTCTGATAAACTAAACTATTTGCGGCCTCGTTAATTTACTTTCCTCGTTTACTCGTTCAATTCGTCATGTTGCAAGGGAGATAAAAGAAAATTAAATAGATTCGAGAGTATAAACGCTTCGATAGTTTTATTACATAACGATAACTTTTACATTAATTTTATATTAGTTACCATTATTTCCATACATTAAGATATAAAATCATATCTCACTTTCGGAAGTGCCGATATCTTTTTTCCCCGAGGCGATAAGAAAAGTCGCATTATGGATCATAACAAACGATCGATAATTCATTCTTTCGCAATTTCATTCTCCTTTACAATGAGATTATTTTTTTTATGAGCGCATTTGGCACCTGTTTTCTCATCTTTTTTTATTACCTGCGCTGACAGGTTGAAGAAACAAATCGAAGAAACTTATCTCTGGAACTAACGAAAAGATCAATGTTCCTCGTAAAATATATCAATATAGAGAGAGAGAGAGAGAGAGAGAAAGACAGAGAGAATAAAGACGAGAGATGATTGGGAAGGCTTGAGGAGAGAGGAGAGCTAAAAACATGACCGTGATGGTTAGAATGATAGAGGGAGAAGAGAGGAGAAGGAAAGACTGAATGAAGAGAGGGAGAGAGAAACGTTTGAATAGGAGAGGGAAGAATGGTTGTGTGTCGAAGAAGTAAGGTTCGCCCGTAAAGTTTGGCCATGAGATAGAGAGACCGTAATCGTGTGCGGCGCGCGTAACGATCTTAGGCGAGGATTAGAGGAGAGCGCGGCGGAGGAAAATGAACGGCGGTGGCAATGGTGGGGTGTGCAAATGGTAAGGGGACCGGAGGGGAGAGGGACGATGGCAAATAGTTGAAGAGGGGTGAAAGAAAAGGAAGGGAAGTGGTGGGGGCGAAAGGTGCAGGGCGAACCGCGTTAACGGCCTCCCACATCGTGGATCGTGTCGTCGTCGTCGTCATTCTTCTTTGAGTCTTTGCGTGACGCTCGTGGCTACGGCAAACTCTTCCTTTATTAGAATCAATTCAACGCAAAAAAGAAAGATATAAAAGAAGAAAATTCTTTCGACCTCATAAATAGTAATCTTTTATTCTTCGATATTCTTCGACTTTCTCCCATCTGTGTGTTCTATTATTTTAAATATATTCGTATTTACCGACGTCTCTCTATCTTATTCTATTTTACTAATATTAAATTTAGCTTACGAAACGAGCTGGGACGAGACGCTTACTCGCATATACGCGCGCATACATATTCATAAAAAGGGAAAATTAACGCGCGTGCGTATTCATCGGTCTATCGTCTACGCAAGTACACGTGCTGTCTGGCTATTTATCATCTTGCATACCATTTTGATTTAGGAGCGCTTAGAAAGTGAGAACGAAAAGTTTAAAGGAAGTTTAAGTCGTAAAGAAGATAATATCCCAGAGAGAGAGAGAGAGAGAGAGAGAGAGAGAGAGAGAGGAATAAGCTGAAAAAGAAGCGTACGCGGAAAGCGCACGCGGAAAAGCTCACGCGGAAAAGCGCACGCGCATAAAAAGTAAATACAAGTGTATATTTATTCAGGTTATTATTCATTGAGAAAAGTCAAGGATAGTCGAAGATATACGGAGTACGTTCCGTACGTTTTCGGGAAGATGTCGCACAAGATACAAAAACAAAGCGCACCACCTGTACATGGGGGCAAATTTCAGGTGAGTAGATATTTATTTTCTTTCTTCTTTGTATTTTTACGCTTCCGCGTTCTCGGGCTAAATTTAGCCGGACTTGAGCGTTACTTTTTTAACTTTCATTAAACAGCGTTGCGTAATGGGAAGACGAACGAACGGAACAAGTGGAGAAAAAGAAGCGATCGATTTACAATAGATAAAAGAGCTCTTTGTAGATTCGCTTCCGACATTTTAAACTCGTTCGTTCGTAATTAAAAGAAAGAGATAATATCTTCAGATAAATAAATAAATGCTTATAAATAGTCCGTTATCTTGGATCGTCCGTTAGTACTATTCAAAGAAATATTCCGTCTAAAGTTTCGTACCTATATAATGTCATAATAATAAGAACTTTTTTTTTTTGTTTACATAGTACGTGATTATTCGATAAAAATGATTTTTCTTTTTTTTTTTTTTTGTCTACAACATCGATGTCACGCGATATCGCTATTGACTTAATCAGTAGAAACATTTCTTACCTGGTTCAATGATGACGGCCACGTGAAATTGATAAAAGCGTCGATACGTGAAAAATAAATTTTTGTTCAAAAGAAAAGTAATTTATCATCGATGTGTAAAATTTTGAATTTCGTACGAATTCGAGGACGCAACTATGTAATATATCCCAATGCGGTAAGATTTACTATCGTTTGACAGTAAATTTCGCAAATCGGTGACATTTTTGCGCAATCTCTCTTGGTTTCTTTTTGGTTTAGAGCGTAACTATTCGTCGTATCGTCGATAATAAATTCACCCATGCGTTAATAAATCGTATTACCGGGTACCCATAATCGCGACAAAATTGCCAATAATTGGGGCAGCCAATTTATTAAGGCGAAATATCATTTTTTTAATCGAACGTCGCAGATTAGAACGTCGTAACGATAAGAATCGAGAAATTTTCTTTTCGTCGAGACATAAAGACAAATCGATCGCGCATTAAAAACAAGTTACGAATATTTCTTTACTATTCGGTACAACCATTATCTCTTACTTTCTAAGTATACATAATCGATCGATACAATTACGATTTTATCGTGATGTCTATCGATGTATCAAACACTTCTCTTTGATAAGAAATTATCTACACACGACATTCCCCTTTTCATCTACTCTTTTCAGTTTTTGAAATAATCGCTTAATCGTATTGAAAAAGTATTCATCCTGTTTCGCCCGTTTATCGCAACTTTCTTGCGGTTTCTTTCTTCCTAGAAAGAATATCTTTTTTTTCCTTTTCCTTCCTTTTTCCCTTCTTTTTTTTCCTTCGAAACAGCAATTCCTGCGTCCTATTAAAAACTCATAGCGACAGTCTTCGGATCATGACCAAAGATTATTATTTGGATATGTTCCAAGAAACTTTTCTTTAATAAATGAATTATTGATTTATCGAGCACGTGGATAGGGGATATGACGTTTACGTAGATTCATACATACGATAAGGAATAAATTAACGACCGAACGGAAATAAAACTTTTGGAGAAAGTAGGAAAGTATAGGAGGAGACGTAATAGAGAATGGAAGAAGATCGCCGAAGGACTTTGCCTTTAGTCAAGATCTCTTCTTAAGCCGTTTGCCATTTTCTCGAGTACCTCGGCTGTCCGGCGTTTTTTCTTTCGCGGCGCAAGTAGCAGTCGTTTTAGAACCGGTTCGACCGAATTCGAGCGGGGCGAGATTGAGAGAGAGAGAGAGAGAGAGAGAGAGAGAGAGAGAGAGAGAGAGAGAGAGAGAGAGAGAGAGAGAGAGCGCGCGCTTAGGACCTAGGTCGATCGTTTGGCACGATGATGACGTGTCAACGAGTATGTAACGTACGTAATGTAATGCAATAATGACAAAGTATATTTATATGTATATGCATGTACATGTACGCCGTTCATCCATCGATACATAGAAACATGTATACCGTACATACATCGCGACGAAGAGTATACGGCGGCTCTACATAGCCACGTCATGGAAATTTTCTCGTCGATGCTTTCCCCCTATCTTTTGTATTTCTTTTTCTTTTACCTTACTGCCTCTGTCCGTCTTTTTTCTCGCTCTCTTAGGAAGGCGCACCTTCGGTTCCCCCTTCGCACCTTTATCACCACTCCTTTCTCCCCCTTCTTTCCGTCCGATCGCCAATGCCTGAACTTTGCTACTCGTTTCTCCCCTCTTTCCCAATGATATTTGTCCCTACCCTTCAGCTACCGTACCTCTCTCTCCCTCTCCCTCTCTCTCTCTCTCTCTCTCTCTCTCTCTCTCTCTTGCAAGCTGTGCGATTCTTTTAGCATGACGCCGTCCTATTATACGCAGTATTTTGTCTTTTTCGCGCTTTACTTCCGTCAAGATATTTATATAATTATCCATCATAGGACAACGATGATGGTCATTATCCGTTCCTTCCGAGATGAAATTTTCTATCGCAAAATTTATTTAGGCGGAACGACGAGGTTTTCTTTCGAAAGAAAATAAGAGAATGAAATAATCGATTTTGACGTCGTCGATGAGAGATGTATCGTGCGTAGCTTCTTCTATATATATATATATACATATATGTATATACCTATATGCGAACTAAGTTGGGAAAGGAATGAAAGTAATGTAGAGAAAGAATAGCCAAGTGGAATAATGAATCGCCGTAGCCAGAGACGAGACGCGACGTAACGATTTACCGTTACTCGTATCGCACGAAATCGACCGGAAGAAAGAGAGATACGAGATTGGAAAGGGTTCACCGTTCGCGGAGAAATCACGCAAAACGACCGATACGATGTTTCTAACATCAATCGATGTCTAGTAGTTGGAAGGGGTGTGTAGTTGGATGAAAAGGGATGGACGTTCCTTCTCGATGAGGCCAAAACACGCGAGCGGATTAAGAAGGTCAATGCTGTTGCCAACCAGTTCACCGTGATCCACGTCGTTCGAATAAGTGCCGGCTCGAACGCGCACGCTCGTAATTCAGGGGCAAAGGAGAAACGTGCTTTCCTCCCACGCGCATCCCGCGTGTTCACGCCAGCGTAAATCGCACGCGGCCAACCGCGTCGGAGGGCGAGAGACGAGATGATATGAGGATGTGACGTTATTCGCAGATTCGTTAATTGTCATCGCGCCGGATGACGCCGGTAACACGCATTAATCTCGGTCGCTCGCAATCGACTTCGTCCCGTTCGTGTTTTGTCCAATCGCTTTCAATTCGTACAACCCTACAACCAAAGGACGCTTCCACCACCTTTGATCCCTATAATTTCTTTTAATCGAGAGACCTATATACTAAAAGAGTCACTCGATTGATAAGACCTAGTCAAGTTTCTTAAAGTGAAACTGGTCCTTGTTCTCGCAATTACGGTACGACTCGAATCAATAACGAAATTGCGCTTTGAGAAGGATTTAGAATCGAGTGACGGTCCACTCTTAATTCGTCGATCAAATCGATCCCGTGCTCTCTTGTTTATCTCTATTTTTCTCTCTATCTTTAACTCTCTTCGAAGAATTCTCTCGCAATTAAACCAGAAACGAGTGAGTCCTATTACGAGCAGATATCCTGTTTATCCCGACACACACACACACACACACACACATATATATATATATATATATTCGTAGTTTGAATTTGAAAGAGTCGCGTCGCTCGATAACTCCACTCTACTCGAAGGGATATCGTTATTCGAGCACGAGTTTCCCCGCTTTATCTTTGGAAGTCACGCACGTTTTACTGCGAGAGAGAGAACCTATCCGGATAAATATTATATCTATGGCGGAATTAATGACTCTCTTGGCTCTCTTTTGATTAATCTCTTTGAGACTAATCACTCACATTCACATTTGATTCACTCGAATCTCGGCTCACTGCTACTTCCAATCTTCCTTCCGTTCGTTCAGGGATTCCTGAGGAATTAGTATAAAGTTATCAATAAAGTATCGTTATAGACAAACGTACGATATTGGAAAATTTTATATCGATGTCTTATCAATGTCTTGCACGTGTCTACGAGGATATAATTGTCTTTTCATCGTGGGACACAGAAACTGGTTATTTTCCCGATGAAAGTTCATAAAGCTTATCTTGAGGCGATTGCATGACCGTTAACGTGTAAGATAAAGTGTCGACCGTGAAAGTATGTTATATAACATGGTTCGCGGGGGAGAATGGAGATATCCTTTCTATCACTCTTTTACTTTAGAAGAAGCCGGATATAAAAACGACAATGCGTAAACAAAATATTACGATTGTGATAGGGTATATCGGAATATAGGTAATCGTTTCTTGGAAGAAGGGGATCTCTTCGATCGTTCCTCTTATGTTAAAACGACACATTTTACCTTGTTGCTTCTTCGCCAAGGCGCCGCGTCGTATGCTCTAAATAGATTCGGCAAAAGATTCGAGCCGTGCGTTGTCCGGCGCCACTCGGCGCCATACTCTATCTCTATCGTAGTACGATATCACCGCATAAAAGCGGAAAGATCAGGCGACAAGATACAACTCGGTTGTATTTTTCCCTCGGAAAAATCGCAGCTATCCGAGAAAAGTTATGACGCTATCGTGGAGATTATTCTTCGTACGTTTCCATTAGTAACGTAAAAGAAACGAGCTCGGGCTGACGATCGAAAATAAAGATCGACGTGGGCGATGACACCTGTCTCTCTCTCTCTCTCTCTCTCTCTCTCTCTCGCGCGCGCGCGCGCGTACACGTTAGATCTTAGAAAAGAAGAGAGAGAAGGAGAGAGGAGGTAGTTTTATTTTTGCATAGAAGGAATCCGGGGACAAAGGGGAAACTATTCTAAATGGATGGTCAAACGTCGAAGTGATTCAATGCGCTCGATAGCAAAGCCAATTCCCTGGAGTTTTCGTTAGCGATCTCACAGATGGTTGGAAGGGAGAGAGAGAGAGAAAGAGAGAGAGCATAGACGCTTACTCACGTGAAGTAGACACGCGTCTATTTGTTCTTCCTATTTTCGTTCGTCGTATATAAAGAGTCGTTCCGTCCTCGGGACATTGCCGAAAGATTTGGCAACGATCCGCGCTTTTCTACGTCGCGGTTACGGGTCCGCACAAACGATCATCTCGGTTAGAGAAAGAGAATCTAGACAACGGTCATCGAGGAGGGCCATCGGATCGACGCGTTCACGCTCCTCATTCATTTTTATCGTCGTTTAACGATCGTCCTACGGGTCGATTGTTTTTAATTCAAAAAGAAATATGTTCTTCCTTTGGCGGCGATTCCCAGAAAGGATATACAGATCGCGACAGTGGATCGAAGAACGGCCGAAATTCCAAGCTATTTCGCGGGCATACTTTTGATTCTAACTCAAAGTCTCGAGTCGCGAGTGAGAGTAAAAGTAGATAGCAGTGCGTCTTCGCCGCGTTTCGAGACGCGTTTCGAGTCCGCGCTTCGAGCCAGATCGAGCAAAAAATATTGAGAGAAGACCGAAACTAAAGGGGGAAGACCTAGGAGACGAAGCTAAAATGGGAAATACGGATAGCGTGCACGACGTGGAGATGAGTTCTCTCTCCATGACATCGAGCAACGATCGATCTCGAATTAGGGTGAATAACGAGCTAAACATTTATATAGGCGCCCTTTAGAGATAGATCGATGATAGATATTGGCGCCTTTCAACGATAATAATATCGAATAGGTCGCGTCGATGAACGCGGTACGAAAGGCGGCTCCCGTTTCTCGATTAATTCGCTAACTCTCTCTCTCTCTCTCTATATATATACATATATATATATATATATATATATATTTACATATATTTATATATATATATATCTTTCGTAATCAACGATCTCTAACAGAGAGCTTTAGGCGTTAGTTCCCTGCCGCTTGAAATATTCACCGATGTTTCTCGTGTATGTTTTGCTTTCGAAACTCTCGAATCTTGGAATAGCTCGTAGACGGGTCCAACGAACTCGAATCGAGTCGAGTCGAGTCGAGTCGAGTCGAGTCGAGTTGACCCGGCATTGCATCGTGCAACCAATTGCCGGCTTCGTCGTCGTACTAAATCTTATCCCCCGCGTATTAACATTTTTCTAATCGTTCGATGATAAATTTGTCATTTACTCATTTTTATTTATTTATCCATTTTCTTTTCCTTTTTTTTTTCTTCTTACAGAGGACGCCCATGCGCCCGATGATAGCGGAATACGACCCAAAGAAGCACGGTGTGAAAACTGAACTGTCAGACATGATTGTCCTCAAGTAAGTGTTTCCAAGTTGAAGTTACGAAATCGAACAAGTGGTGGTTCGGTGATAATCGAGAGTTCGATTACGCTATCCGCTACCACGATCGATCATCGCCATTGCTTTATTGCCAAATCCAATTGCTCCGCGCTCGAGCGAACGTGAGTGACACCCCGAGGATCATATATTGTGCATTGCATCTCGTTATATGTTTATTCTCTCACTCTCTGTGTACCCTTTTTCTTTTTTATACCTCCTTGTCATTGCATACCGCCTGATCGCTGATGTAAAAAATCGTTGCGTAACTGCCGCAAGGAACGCTTCCTGATCACGAATCGAGTTGAATAGTCGCGAAAATGCGTAAGTTTCGATTTAACTTCGAGTAATGTAGTAGCAATTGCTTCCTTTTTCTTTTTCTCTTCTTCTTCCTTTCTTCTTTTTCGTCTTTTTTTTTATCTCTTCTTTTCTTTCCTTTTTTCATAACGCGACGGAAAAAACAGAGAGCGACTGTCCTTTCTCAAATTCGACGACCTCGAAGCGTTTTGCTCTTTGAATTCTTTGGGCGAATCAAACGGAGCGTTGCGTTCTTGCTGCACCCTCGGCGTCTTTTTCGTGCTCGTACTTAATCTCTCGTTATTATATCATTATCAAGCATTAACAAAAACATCGGCAAGTATTGCATCAGGGAATGCGGCCACTTATTGGTTGTTATACGTCATGCTTGATCTTTGACACTATCGCGGCCGTCTAGTTATTCCTACGAAATAATTTATTTTCTTTCTAAGCGATGCGCTTTTCGTTATGCAAATCTATTTCAAACATTTACGTCTTTTCGACCGACCCATCGATTTTCTCCTACTTAATATCGTCATGTTCAGCGTCATATAGGATATTTATTCTTTGATCCTGTGGTACGTTTTATGTATACGCGTTGAAAGATGGCCCGAAGGATGCCAGCTAAAACAAAAATAGCATTATGCTGCGAAAGTGATGAAATTATATTGCTCGCGTAAATGGGAGGGTGCAGCAGGGGGAATTGTCCCGAGATTTTTTCCTCATGAATCAGGAATGCTTCGTGTTGAGGTCATGCGGTATGCAAATCGAAGAACGAAATAGTCTAATTTTAAAGGATAAACGATCTGTCTTTACTGTATAATATGTGCATTTATATGATTCCAGACTCGTGTATAAACTCCGGGCATATATTCGGGCTCGAACAAAGTGTGCTCTGCGAGTAACAAAAGAGAGAAAGATAGATAAGACGATATCATTCGATTGCATCGCAGTTGTATATATATATATACGTATACATATACGTATACATATACATATACATATACATATATATATATATACATACATATATATATATATGTGTGTGTGTGTGTGTGTGTGTGAAAACAAAAAAAATGCAAAACAAAATCATCGAACGTCTCTCATTGTCCGATGAGCAGACAATGAAAAAAAACGAACGGTTGTGTGCAGACATCCGCGTAAACGCGACCGCGACGCGAAATGACACGATGTACCGACGAAAGACAGATAATACGGACAAAATCGTCATGGACGTGTTAATTTTGTATTTTCAAGCACGTAAAATCAAAAAAGAGATAAATAGACAGAGAGAAATAGCGCGAAAGAGGGAGACGGAGCGAGAGAGAGAGAGAGAGAGAGAGAGAGAGAGAGAAAGAGAGAGAGAGAGAGAGAGAGAGAGATAGTTAGAGAGCAAAACGGAAGGAAAAAAATGAGAAAAGAATGAATTGGCACGAATTATGCAAAATGAAAAAGACAGAGAGAGAGAAAAAGACTATGTGTCGTCGTCGTCGTCATGGAGAGACGGCGCGTTTTAAAGACGCGGTTTAATCGTTCTCGGCAAAGTCCAGAGAGCTATAGTCAGAAAGCAAAGAAGGCCTGTTTGTCGTCGTACTGCGTCTTGGCGCTGGGTTGCGTCTTTTGCGATGCAGTGCGGTGGTGGCAGCTTCCTCTGAGCCTGACCTGACACGCGTTGCGTCCAACAAGGACGTAAGCTCCATTCGGAGCTTTCTCGAGACAGAAAGCTTCGGACGACTACGAAGAGAAACTACCGCACGCACTTTAATGGGTACCTATATACCTATACACACCTCTATCTATTTTTACATGATTTTTTATATACAATTTTTTTACACGAATCGTCTCTCTTTACCTTCGCCCTGGCAACAACGGCCGTGCCGTTCTCTATGCGCGTACGAGATTTCTTTCGATAGGAAGGAAGGTTTAGAAGGAAGGTAGAGATGGAGAAGCGAGAGAGCGAGAGAGCGAGAGAGCGAGAGAGCGAGAGAGCGAGAGAGAGAGAGAGAGAGAGAGGGAGGGGGAGAGAGAGAGAGAGAGAGAGAGAGAGAGAGAGAGAGAGAGAGAGAGAAAGGAAGAGAGAGAAAGGGCGCGACGCGCCGATATCGAATCTCTGTATACTCGCAACATTCATCGACTTTCATTCATCAACGTTCGTGGCTCGCTCTCGTTCGTCATTGAAAAGAGAGATCAAGTTCAATTCGCGATAGAATGCTCCTCTCGCTTTTATCTGATAATTTTTCTTTTTCATTATATCCATCGACTATTCTTTTCCGTTACGTTTCGCATAAAATTTGTAAAAAATCCTCGTCGCGAACCTTCGGTTTCATTCTCCGAGCATTTATTTCTTTTTTCACGGCTTTCGCTCTTTCGTCGAATCCCCCTTCATATATATTACTCTATCGCTATCCATTTTAGACTTCTTCGTCCTCTTCATTAGATAATACATACACACGTACAAGCATGCTTGCGTGGGTTTGTATTCTTTGTTTCTCTTATATGTCCTTTGCTTTTTTGCCTCTCTCCTCGTTTTTATTCTCCTTTTCTTTATTCTCCGACTCCCACACCTTTTTCTTTTTTTGACTCCTTTTTCTTTGCAACAATGAGAAACAGTCATAGACGCGAATCTTTCTTAAAAGGTATTTATATAGAAGAAGAAAAAATGAAACGTATAGAGAGAGACTTTTGAGAAAAAAGAAAAACGCAATGTTCCTCACCCTTCTTCGCACAAGCTTTGTCGTGTTATCGCGGAATAAAAGAGAACAACTTCCTTTTTCCATGCGCATAATACCTATGTTATACCTAGATATATAATCATACATACATATATATGTATGTACGTGTATGCATATTTAAAAATGTAGATTTGATACGACAGATCGAAGACTTTTCTCTTACAATCCGGGCTAATGTTCGCGGTTTTACAGATACAAGTGCGAGAAAAATGATGTACCGATCACCGTGACGAATGGATCGACTTTGCCTCTCGTGGAACGTCAAAACGACGAAGAAGCAGCACTTTATGATCCATTCGAGCATCGAAAATTGGCTCATCCTACCTCGGATTTAGATACGCTGATACATCTGCTCAAAGGAAGTCTCGGTACTGGCATACTGGCTATGCCATTGGCATTCCGAAATGCTGGTCTCGTTTTCGGTCTTTTTGCGACTTTCTTCATAGGCGCCATTTGCACTTATTGCGTACACATATTGGTCAAATGCGCCCACGATCTTTGTAGAAGGACGCAGACCCCGAGTTTGGGATTCGCTGATGTCGCCGAGACGGCCTTTCTCGTTGGTCCGGAAGGCGTACAAAAGTATGCTCGGCTGGCCAAGTGAGACTTTATTTCATTTTTCCTTCCTCCTCGTTTGTTCCAACGCGGATAGAAAATATTAATATCTTTTCTTCCTTCAGGGCCACCATCAACTGTTTCCTAGTGATCGATCTGATCGGTTGTTGCTGCGTATATATCGTATTTATTGCGACGAATCTCGAAGAGGTGGTAACTTATTATACGAAAATGGGCGAGGATTGGGAAGCGGTCGATCGTTTGAGATTATACATGGCCGCCCTTTTACCATTCCTCATTGTCTTTTCTCTCGTGAGAAATCTCAAGTACCTGGCCCCATTTTCAATGCTTGCCAATATATTGATCGCTACAGGAATGGGCATAACTTTCTATTACATTTTTACCGATCTACCAACGATCAGCGATGTGCCAAATTTTTCGAGCTGGGCTCAACTTCCCCTATTTTTCGGTACAGCGATCTTCGCTCTCGAGGGTATCGGCGTCGTAAGTATTACAAATCGTTCTTACGTCTTAATATTAAACGTTTCTGATCTTTCGCTTTTGCAAATTTTCATCTGTGCGCTTTGATTTTCTTTTCTTTTTTTTTTTTTTTCTTTTTTTTTTCTTTTTTTTTTCTTTTTTTTTTCTTTTTTTTTCTACAGGTAATGCCCTTGGAGAACAACATGAAAACGCCGACCCATTTCATCGGTTGTCCCGGAGTCTTAAATACCGGCATGTTCTGCGTCGTCTTACTTTACAGTACCGTCGGTTTCTTTGGTTATTGGAAGTACGGCGAGCAAACGGCCGCATCGATCACCTTGAATCCGCCACAGGATGAGATACTTGCACAATCGGCGAAGATCATGATCGCCATTGCGATATTCTTTACTTACGGCTTGCAATTCTACGTACCGATGGAAATCATTTGGAAAAATATCAGGCATTACTTTGGCTCGAGAAAGATTATGGCCGAATATTCCCTTCGGATATTTTTGGTTATATTCACGGTGTCCGTTGCTATCGCAATGCCAACCCTCGGTCCATTCATCTCGCTGGTAGGTGCGGTTTGTCTATCGACTCTTGGAATGATGTTCCCGTCGGTCATAGAATTGGTAACAGTTTGGGAACAAGACGACGGCCTTGGTAAATACAAGTGGAGACTTTGGAAGAATATTGCCATCATTTCGTTCGGCGTGCTCGGCTTTCTAACCGGCTCTTACGTCAGTATCAAGGAGATCATCGAGCAAAAGTGAAAAGCAGATTTGGCAAGACGAGGAGCAGCGATGCGACCGAATTAACGATCCTCCGTTGCGTATTACGAACGCCCGGTATGTTCTTGTGCTTAACCTCGCTCGCTCGCGAACGCAACTGCGATCACCTCGTCCGCTCGCGTTCCCACTTCCCGGAAGGAGAAAGAAGATGAAGAAAGGCCGCGTAAAAAGACGTCCGAAAAGGACAAGTAAATAGCGAGCACGAGTACGAATCGCTTATACTTTTCTCTTTACTATCACGATCTCCGATAGTGATATCGATGATCGTATTGACGATGAGGACGCAATCAAATCCCCCCCTCCCCCTTCCGCTTTCACTTTTATTCCTTTTTTCTTATTAAGTTGTGCTAGATATCATTCGAGAACGCCGTCGTACAATACACGTCGTATATAATAAATAGTTCATCGCGTTACACGTTAATTACGACTTCAAACCAACGGACTTTATTACTACGACAATCGGGCTTCGACGAAGGGCGTTCGACGGGAAGCCAACGATCAATGCGATTGTGCCAATTGTAAAAAAAGCAACAGTGAGATTATGATGAGTCTTCGACTGTAATTGTAGGACGGATCTTTTAGAAATTTTTCGTTGATTATTTGTACGGCAAATTAGTTTGTACGCACTTAAGTTTTGATCATAATCACGCGGATTATATTTAAAACGTCTTTTATATCTTCCTCTTGACGTAAAATTGAAAAATCTTAAAACTTATACTCGTCGAAAAATCGCAAATGCGATGCAGAGTAAATTACGAGTAAAAGGGAAATTCGTTAATGCATATGCTTTGCTCTTACTCTCTTTCGAAATTTTTTTTGCGTATTTGAAAGTAGGGGAAAAAGAAAGAAAAAGAAGGGACGGTGAAGGAGACAGGAAGAGGACGAAATCGATCGTCGCATCGTCATCGACGGAAGCCACTGATCTGTTCCTAGTGCATGATGCACGAAATCGTACAAAAGATTATCGATTAATTGTAAGATGCGCTAATCAAGACGGCTAACATTGCCGTCCAATGTGCGTTTGCTAGTCCGTCATAATGGAAGTAACGACTAAAACGAATAGAAGTGATATATATATATATATATATATATATATATATATATGTGTGTGTGTATATATATATATACAGAAAAACGCACGTACCTCTGGTTTTTAATATTAAAGAGAGGTTTCGTAGATCTTTGCACAATTGTTTCAACATGGTCGTATATTGGACTTACGTTTCGAAATACATTATTTATTAGAGTTTTCTTTCAAAACTTGATACCAACGGAGAATTGACACCAGAGTCCAGTTCCAGGCGATATTCGTTTGGAATGAATAAAAAAGCTATTATCTGTAAGATTATAATAATCGTTGGTGCCTTTTCTATCGATAATCCCATCGATGATCTTACAAGAGCGGTGCCATTACTACACAATCGGTCATTCGATGAGTCCTATATGTATTATTTATATGTACCATACGTACGTAAATCGCGACGAAGAAAAATTAGACGCACGGGGACTTTGCTCTTTCAGCCGATCCATGGGTCTTACGTGTTTCTCTCTTTGTTGTTGTATACAACTTTGGGGGTGTTCGACAATAACCATTTATATACGTACTAGGACGCATTAATAACTTAAAAGGACCGTTGTAAATAAAAGAGAAATGCAAATAATGCGAGACAAAAAGATGATTAGTCGATGCTATGATGTTGACAATAATTGTAAATGTCGTTATATAATAACTTCATCGCTGTGATTCTTATACAGTATTAATGCGATTTTCATATTCAATTTGATTGTTTGTATTTGCGAAAAAAAAAAGAACGAAAAGAAAAAGCAACATTGATATTTAGAAGAAGAAGGAAGAAAAAGAGAATAGAACGATCGTGGATAAGTCTCTGTTTGAATCGACCGTTAAAATTGGTAAAAGGACATATAACGTGCTTTATTGATTACAAATCATTCTCTCGATATATCAAGCATCGACTATTTGACATACAAATTATATTCTACAATCACGCTTAATCGCACATTAATTTAATATATGGTATGCATGTTGTTATAGTCCGTATATATATATAAAATGTGCAAACACTTAAACGCAACCTTTAATGCCAACTTTTAATGACTTTTTTCTCGTTTTATAAGAGTTTATCGAAATTTATTATCATGCGAGTAGATTAAATTTACTTATGCAAATGTCTTTTTCTTTGCCCAAATTGTTAATTTATCTATCATTATAAATATAAGCGTTATATTTAATAAATAAATCAACTTGCAGATACTTTTCTTTTTCAATGCGTTACTTTTTATAATTCACCTAGCTGTAAATGGCTCTTTGAGTGATCTCAATCGTAATCGGTTGTTTGATTTGTTCTGATCGTTGGATGCCATCTTTTTGCGCAATTCTCTTCTCATTATTTCAAACGTTAAGAACCAAATTAAATTAAATTTTCTAACTCAATCGATGAATATACGAACCATACGCCCATTCCATGAATCCAAATAATCTCAAGATAAGCCAATGTGAGTGAACAAAAATGTGCCCTTATTAACAGAGAAGTTCTTTTCGATTGATACCATGTATCGCTACGTGACCCGTATTAAAATGCGTGTACGTCGGTTGGAAGATAGAAAATAAACTTGCACTGATACGTATGTAATCGTATATGACAAAGTATCATGCTACTGCGATTTCGTTTGTTATTAATCTCTACGGAGACGGGACCTTTTCAAAGTTATTTATTTATGATACCTTATTTAAACGTCCCTTAGTTGAAGTGTTATTTATAAGGGCGCCGTTCGAGAGAAAAAAGAATAAGTACTTTGATCGCGCGTAACGATCGGTGGCGTAATTCGAGAATACTCTTCGTTTTCTATCTCTAAAGGATATCATCATTGACGACGCATCGTTTTTACCCCTGTCTAAATTCAATCGATATTAAGTTTATTAGTCAAACGCTTATTCCAATTAATTGATTATTAATATTTCAAGAGGGATAGAAATTATTTTCAATATTATTAAATACGGTCAGATGGATGACAACCGTGAGTAACAAGTTTTATTTCGATTTTATTTCAATAATTATTAAATATATCTCTCGCGCTTTCTGCTTCTTGTATGTTTCCGTTTATTGTATTTCTTGAGAAATTATAATTATAATTATAATTAGGCGTGATTATAATTATCAAAAGTTAGAAGATAAAGAGACAACGCGTATGGGCGAAAGTAAGGAGAGGAATATACTCGACGTATAAATATTGTAATTCCGACCCTTACATATACTAAATACTTTGTACTACTGCTTTTAAACGAATAAAAAAGAAAAAAAAACAAGGAAATACAAAAGATCGTCAATCTTTTAACGTAATCGCATAGGATTTATGCGGTACTTGTAATAATTTTTATTGGGAGATCCGATAATTTAAGAAATAATTTTTTAATTAATTATTTTCCATGAAACAATTAGATATAAAATAGCGTGAAGATTTTTCTGCCACTACTTATATCGTCCGATCTAATATATTAATAAAAAACCTAATAGAACCTTTCCCTTTTTCTAACAAATGCTTTCGAACATTCCATTATTTCTCAAGTCATTTAATTTTTATACATTAAAGACGATTTAAGGATTAACATTATTAACAGTATGTCAGGTGTAAAAATTCTTTGGAATCGATCTCATTAGGTTTTAAAAATGAATACATTTTTAATGAGCTAGACGCCATTTTAAAAGTGATCCTTCATTTTGTTACGAAATTTCGTAATGAATTGCGCGGTAGGATGAACGTCTTTTAAAAATAGCTTAAAAAATCAGCTTTTAGGCTGTACACCTTTTAATAATTTATCGTGACGTCGAGATATATGTGAAAAAAGTAAGATAATTTATATAGGATAATAAATTATCATTGCTTATTGGTAGAGAACATACACTCCACTTGAATAAATTAATTATATATGATAACTGTCTCATATTAAGTTAATCAAATATTTTTTTAATTACTTTTGATTTTATATAATATTAATATGCTATTATTCGAGGAAATATGCTCAAGATTAATAATTGTTCTATAAAAGATAGCAAAAATCGATATATATTATATAATTGAAAAATTATTACTATTGTTATTGTTATTGTGTAAGAAGAGTAATGCATATATCGTCTCAGATTTTATCTCTACTCTGGCAAAGAAAAGAAACGGAAAGGAATTTTTGGATTTCCTAAAGGGATATTTCAAGTTATGAGATTGGAAGCACTGTTACAGTATTATAACTGTAATCTTATATACGTGTTTGTTGCGCTTATTACTTGATTGATTTAGTTTATCAAATTTTCCAAACGATGTACAAAAGTTGAATTTATCAGTTTTTTCATTAGAATCCCATATTTTCATCGGTTATGATAATATAATATTCAGTGGCCATGTTGAACGATACATCAAGAAAAATATCTAAAAGTTCAGAGACAACAGAAGTATGCATTCTTTCTATTCGCGATCGCTTATTTAACCAACAAATTGAAAGATCATATTTTTCCTTTAGACCGATATACGCGAAGATGAAGAACAAACGACAAAGTTACAAGAAATTATTGATCTTCTTGTGGCTGCTGGATATTTTCGAGCCAGGATAAAGGGTATATCAAATTTTGACAAGGTATCTCATTATATAGCTAGAAAACTTTGTTTGTTTACGACACATATACACTTTCATAACAAATATATATGTTTTTCTTTCATTACACTTTTTCATAATTTATCTTCAGTCATCGTAAAATCCAACTTTTTCATATACAATTATATTACACAGGTGATAGGTGGTATGACATGGTGCATCGAATCTTGTAATTTCGACGTAGACGTGGACTTATTGTTCAGAGAAAACCTTACTATCGGCCAGAAAATGTAAGTGAGGAATATTATATTATAATGTGATAAATCTAATAGACCAGTAATGGTGTATCTATTAGCATTTTTGAATTTTTATAGATCCTTGACGGAAAAAATTGTCGTTATGCTGCCAAAAATGAAATGCCCGTACCATATAGAACCTCATCAAATACAAGGATTGGACTGTATCCATATCTTCCCGGTTATTCAGGTAATTGTTAACCATGAACAATTTAACTAACCTACTTTTACATGTGCAATCGTTGCAGTGGTTAATAAAGCGTTCTATGGAAATGCGTAAAGAAATGGCAGGATTCGTGCGCTCTTTCGCCATTAATCAATTTCATAAGAAGCATTTCTTCTTGGAAGACGAAAATAGTGCTGCGACAGCTGCAAAGAAAAATATGATGCAAAATATTTTATCAATCAAAGTGAGAGTTCCTTTCTAATAACGTTTATTCTCGGGATTTTTAATGTGTTGAAAACAAAAAGAAAAAAAAAAAAAAAAAACAAATCAATTTTTCTAATTTTAATACTTTACAGAGATTATATGAACCTCGACGATTATTCAAGTACAAAGATAGTTTGCCGAGAGATGAGGCCACTCGATTTCTTGGTACTCTTTTGGAGTATGACGCCAATTTGCATGGAAATATACAGAATACAAAGACCGATGTATTTCCTCCTTCCAAGTCGATGACAGCTTCGCAAGACGATAGAAAAGACAATCATATTTCCGGGTCGAACGATGAAAAGGTAAGAATGATGTATACATATGCACGCACACGCACATTATTAAATCAAGTTAATTGGGCAAAAACAACTTCATCAAATAGAAACATTTCTCTTTCATTCGCGTAGACGGCTGTAAGAGAAATTGCGGGTTCAATGGCAGCTATCGAGGAAAGCTCTGTAAGTGAATGACATATTCGAAAGAGAAGATAATATTTCTTATATTAGTTTCTGTAAAATTGTATAAAAAAAAAAAAAATCTTTTGAATTGTTCATCGATATACGGATTATTATAAGGTAACGCGGTCCTCTAATGTAAAATTATTATAAAGGATCGTTTAAGCGTGAACGCGGTTGGCAATATCGTCGGGATGCAAGCACAGGAAATAGCCAAGGTAGCTGAGAAATATGCAACAAGATCGATATCTGAAACGGAGGTAATGAAAGAAATATACCAAAGTTACATTGAAAAACTATATTATCCCCATGATTTCTCGTTGCGCATTGTTTTAGGAAAATGGTGCATCCGGCACATCCAGTGCTCTGGTAACTTTGCAAAAGCAAAAAGCCAATCTACAGGCACGAATTCGTAAATTGACAAAGGAAAGAGATATTTTGGCAAGTAAAGCCTCGGAGATGATAGATAAAACAAATCAATGTTATAAACAAAGGGAATATCTTGAACGTTCGTTTAAGAAGGCACAAGAAATAGGAATTAACGAAAATGATAGGTATTAACACCTCTTTGATATTTTTATTTTCTATAATTATGCAAAATAGGAAAATTTTATTAGAAAAATTGTCTATCCCATCTTTATCTTCTTTTGTATCGTAGTGTTTTTAAACGATTGGAAGAACTTTTATTGGTGCACGATGGTTTAAAAGATCAGGAACAAAAGTTTCGGGAGCAATGCAAATCTGATTTTGACTTACTTCGAGGTATGTTAAAAGAAATCAACGATGTAGTACCAACAGAGGAAGAAGACAGAGTTAAGGAATACGAGGAGCAAAAGAAAGTAGTGGCTAAGGCGAGATTGGAGTTGGCCAAAGGGAATAGAATCATTGCTTCTTTGACCAGACAATTGGATGATGTACCAGGAAGATCTGAATTGACGCAATATCAGAGAAGGTTCATGGAACTTTACAATCAAGGTTGTGGAGCCATCTTTGGCACTCGCATCGCATCATTTTTACATCATTTCTTGTTTTTATTACATGTTTATTCTCCATTACATAAACATTCCTATTATTATAGTATCCGCCAAACACAAGGAGACCAAACAATATTACACGTTGTACAATACGTTAGACGACACAAAGCTTTATCTAAGCAAAGAATTATCTTTGCTAAACTCTATACAGGATAATTATAACGAGTATGTATATTGATATCTCGAAGTCGACATTGTTACGTAGATAAATGCATTTACTCTACATAGAGGGAAATAATTTATTTTAATCCTTTTACGACAGAGCGATGGCATCTACGAGCGGTAAGGAACAATTTTTGGAGCAATTTGAGTCCGCCGTTGCAAGAGTCAAGTATAATAAAGCCATGGTGCGTCAGGGTTGCGTCAAAATTTCGTTTCGTTCGACGCACAACAACAATATACACCAATGTATGCATATAGATGATAAGTTTAGTTTCTTATTGCGCAGGTCGAGAAACGGTGTGCCGACGAAAAGAACAGACGCGATGCTCTTAGTCAACAATTGGTTACGCTTGTAGAGCAGCAACGTAAATATGTCGTTGCTGTCAGACAGCTTACCATCGAGTGTCGTAAGAACGAAGCATTACTTGCCCAGCTACGTGGCCCATGAACGTCATGTTTCTTTTTTCAAAATCAATCGGGATAAAGATCCAACCCGTTGTGCAAAAAGAAAAAAGAAAAGAAAAAAGCTTAATCATAACATTTACATTATACGATTGTACATATTTTTATGAATGCGCATCTTTATTATTTTGGATCACTACAAAAAAATATATGATCCACCTTTACTTCCTCGAGTACGTTTCATTTATTTGCTTTTTTCAGCCTAGTTAATAAATAGTTTTAATATTAAGAAATAATTCGAGTATATATCTCTGTAACTATATTTAATATAGAGCAATATAGAGATAAATGTTATATTGTAATTGTCCAACAATTACAATATACGACGGTATGCGAATTAAAATAGTAAAGAGCTTGGGTCACATGACCAATCTTCGTAGAATGCTAAGTGTCTGTACGCACATACGTTGCCGAGAAGGCGATCTTGAACCAATAATAGAGTACAATATACTCCGCCATTCGTCTATTTTTTACTTTCAACGATCTACCTATATATTCGTTCGGCCGAATATTTTTCTAATAACTGCGAATGCGCACGTGCATGTATGTATATATATATATGTGTGTGTGTGTGTGTGTGTGTGTGTGTGTGTGTGTATATATATTCTTTCTATAGTAGTAGGGTAATTATTTAACGATACAATTTTCAGCATTACGCGACATTGAATGGCATGAGAAGCCATTTGATTCTTTTATTAAAAGTCGATGAAATTCACAAGAGAGCCCCCTTTCCACGATATATCGTACTAAATTTCACTATTATTTTTGTCCAGTGTTACCACGTTCACATGTTCTATTCTTCATCCCTGTCCTTTCGAAAGCCCCACTTTTTGCGTTCCTTGTGACGATTCTCTGTCATCTATACCAGTGTATGAACGTTTTATTTGTGTATTGTTTTATTTATGATCGTCCGAACGATTGGTACAAGTCCCACAAGTTTTTCCTTATTGCTTCATCTACCGCGATCAGAAACTAACAGATAGCGTCTTGTGGATATGACGGTCGTGTCGAGTGAAGTATCCGTTTCATTGCTAAACGTATCATCTATATTCTTCGAATATGCGATAGATATTTGCGGTCTTTTCGTGTGATGCAAATGAGAATGCAATTGCTTGTTTAAAATGGCAAAAGACGAAGGGGATGACCTTTTGCCAGACAAGGACGCCGCAAAGGGATTTTATGCGAAATACGAGCCTAAAGAGATTCTTGGAAGGTTCGTCGTATGTGTTTCAATAAAACATTTCCATTGAATATAATATCTGTTAAATTTGCACAATCCTTCTGATTTCATCCATAAATCATTGATAATCGTTACAAACCCAAATAACGCGCGATATCGCTATTATTATCATTATCATTGCCATCGTCATTGTCTTTGTTGGTAACATTATTATTGTCATTAATCTTTCTGCGAGAAGGAGTATATGTGTATTAAAATATAAGAAATTAACGTGTGCGTGCGTGCTATGTGCGTATTATATATATATATATATATATATATATATATATATATATATATATATATACATACACGCGCGCGCGCGCGCGCGTATGCGTATGTGCATTATGTAATTGTGTGTGTGTGTGTTCAGACTGAATTTGCAAAGATAGTAATAATTGCATTCTATTATCAATATCTGTATATTTGTGTGTGTGTGTGTGTGTGTGTGTGCGTGCTATATTTATAACTTTTGCCAGATATGGTTTTTAATAAGTTTTCATGTTATAGAGGGATATCGTCGACTGTAAGGAGATGCATAGAAAAAGAAACTGGTATAGAGTACGCGGCTAAAATTATAGACATTAGCAATGAACCTCATGAATCTACGGATGGACATACTATGAAAGATGCTACTTTACAGGAAGTACATATTTTGCGTAGAGTTGCTGGGCACCCTTATATTAGTAAGATTTTTATTAATTTTAATTAAGTTCATTGTAATATTATTTTATGGTATTATATATTAAGTAATATAAATTTTGCCAACGTCATGTATACCACTGTTTCTTAATATTTGTCTAATTTTTCCAGTCGAGTTACACGATGTATTCGAATCTAGCACATTTATATTTTTAATTTTTGAACTTTGTAAAAATGGAGAACTATTCGACTACCTCACATCGGTCGTAACACTGTCCGAAAAGAAAACACGTTATATTATGAGACAAGTATTTGAAGGAGTTCTGCATGTACATAATCAGGGTATAGTTCATAGAGATTTGAAACCAGAAAATATATTACTTGACGATAGCCTTAATGTAAAAATAACAGATTTTGGCTTTGCAAGGATGTTAAAATCTGGAGATAAATTATACGGTTCGTTAACATTTTTTTTATATATTCGATGAGCTTGTCATGGTATCAAAAGAAAAAAAAGAAAAGAAAAAAAAAAAGAATTATTCTTATTAACCCAATAATATATATTCCATTTGAGTAGATTTGTGCGGAACACCTGGATATTTAGCACCAGAAGTCTTGAAGTGCAACATGTTTGAAAATGCCGAAGGTTATGGATTCGAAGTTGACATGTAAGCATTGTCATATATTCTATTTTCAATGGTTTATCATTTGCCAATGGAAATGTCATTTGTTAACCTAACCAACGTATATTACTTTCTTAAAGTAACTAACCAACACAAATATATGCAGGATATTCCATAACTGTGATCCATTGATTTTCTAATGCGTTATGTGCATAATAAGGGTCTACAAGCCAATGTTTATCTCTTCTTAGATGGGCTTGTGGAGTGATTATGTTTACCTTATTAGTTGGTTGTCCCCCATTTTGGCATCGAAAACAAATGGTCATGCTAAGGAATATAATGGAAGGAAAGTATTCCTTTACATCACCGGAATGGGCAGATATCACAGGTGCGATATTTTATCTATATATTTCCTCTTACTCTTATACATACATACATACATACATACATACATATGTATTTATATCTATATTTGCAGAAGCCCCAAAAGATTTAATAAGAAAATTATTAGTCGTTGATCCGAAAAAAAGAATATCGATAAAAGAAGCACTGGAACATTCTTTTTTCCACACTGTGGTACGTATTTTTATGAAAAATTAATGGATAATGTTAGAAAAGTCCGACTATATAGAGCATGTATTATATCTTAAATGTTTTCAAAAAACATTTCCTATAGTTTAACATAAGATCGTATTGTTTCACATTTAGATATATGCTTATATAAATGCTGATTTATTTTATGATTACATAAAGAGGCATTATTAAAGAAAACAAAAAAAAGCAGCATCTTTCATTTCTTGTTCTTTCTCTCTTGTTGTTTCATCATATCCATTATAGTAAATCCTCATACTTTGTTTTTTGTTTTTTATACGTACGAAAAACTTTGTCTACACAATGTATCATTTTATATTTCCAGCCTAGAATATATGGCAGTGGTGTAAAAAAACATCATTAACAATTATTGGATGTAAAAATGAAAGACTAAAAGCTTTTATGACATATTCGTTTTTAACATTTAATGATTATTTCTAATGCATATTTGCTTTCCATTGCACATATCATTTACATTATGTATTTGCAATTTTATTATACAAAACTATTGACGTTATATGAATTAATTTCTTTTTGAAAAAACTAACAAAGGGCCACAGGTACGAATTATACATATCAATTCAAAGAATGATGTATTAAATCAAATTTATATTTACTTTACGAGTTACGATAAATGTGGCAAATTTAAAAAGATCACGTTCGAATTTTTCGATAAATTTGTATTTTATGTTGTAAAGAACTCTTAACTCGTTACAGTTGTGGGATCAAGACATCGCCCCTCTAAAGCGTTCACTGTCATCTAACTCACGACGTCTGAGTAGGATATCTCAATTAGCTTTGGTAAATTATTTCTGTTATTCTTTCCTTTGGGATAAACATAAATTTTTATTTTTCGTCTAAAGTCTGCGGTGTAAATTAACAGTTAGTCATTTTTCTCGGTGAATTATACCATTGTTTTCTGAATTAAAATAATAATAATGTTCTCTCAATGCCTTTTCTGTTTATTAATCATTAAATATTAATAACTTTTGATATTTTCAAAATCCGCTCCTCTTATTTCCAAGTTCACAAATTTTATTTATATGCATGATACCACCTCATTCATGATTGAAGCGCGCTAACATGCATGTTTATGCTTTTCTATGCACAAACTATATAGTAGATTATAGCTTTCTCTTTAAGAAGCCCTTCTTTCTTTTCCATGTGCCTTTATCCGATTGCGCGTGAATCTTTCGAGATTGCGTAAAAAGAAAAAGAAAAAAGAAAAAAAAAAAAAGAGAAAAAAAGAAATAATTCGATAATCAATTATTTATACATACGTGTTTAATTAATTTGGCGTAATTAATTGAATTGACCGAATAAGTAAATGTTTCATCTTATTCCATTTAATCATTAATATTTGTATATACCCTTATATTCTCTTAATTCATTTAAATTCGCACAGGAATTAAAGGCAAAGTCATTTAATGCACGAAGAAGATTTCAGTTAGCGATTCTTTGCGTACGAGCAGTGATACGTATTAAACGTCTTCACATTACACCCGAACCTCTTTCGACTCAAGTGGCTTGCACCGATCCTTATAGAATAAAGATCTTACGAAAGGTATTTAAACTGTTAACATTTTATATCATATCTGTTTGTTTCAACTTTATTAATTTCTTCAAACTTTTCTTGCAGATTATCGATGGGTGTGCATTTAGAGTTTACGGACATTGGGTTAAAAAAGGAGAAGGACAGAATCGAGCAGCACTTTTTGAAAATGCACCAAAGACAGAATTAAAACATCTTTATGTTAGCAATTTGAGTAGATAACCAATACTTTGTTGAAACATTAGTTACAATTGGTATTTTATTCAGACTTTAGTAAATTCGTTTTTATAATAGAGAAGGCATAATTAATAAACAAAGATAGTCTTTGATTATTCTGTTTTCACAACTTGTACGGTACGCACGATGAGAGGATGCTTTGGATTTTCTCTTTTTTTTTCACGTGTACTTTCCTTCATTATTTAGTATTACCTTGTAAT